AACAAAATATAGAGAAAACATGTTTCTTTTAATTTAACCATGTCTTTATGTATTTTGATAATGCAGAACATTACATCGAACATGTTGATGTGAAAAAGTAAAAATGCTATATCAAATAATAAATATCATCAAATAATAATTAATTAGTTATAATCCATTTAATCAATCAATTACTACACTGTATACGATATCCCTAGGAGCAGTTACACTTACTGGGGGATTTATTAACCTCTCACCCCCTTAGGAACTCAAGGGTTAAGTCCTCAACTCTAATGATTTTTCTTTTAACAATACATGTAACAGGGATCAAACCTGACCACAATATTTTCAACATCTAATTTCTAAGCTAAGTCATACATTCAAAAAGAGGGACATCCAGGGCTATACATGAAATCGTAAAGGAGGACTGAAAGTATCGCAACAGATTTCAGCAATCATATGTTGGATTTTGGCTATTTTCTGAGGATTTGAGGAGGTGCATATGTTAGGCCAATGCATTTCCTCCAGGAAAAGCACCCATAGAGATGATAAAATAATTTCTATTTTGAGACAGGGAAGGTGCAACCCACAACCCACCCACATGCATAAATATATATATGTATATGTATAAATATATGTGTATACAGTTAACCCCTTTAAATGAAAAATACATTCTATCTGGGATTTTAAAGATATCAAATATGGGTGACCAAAATTAAGCTGAAAGCAATGGATCACATGAGTTTTCCCTATGGGAAAATAACAGGAAAATATTGTTTTCCGCTTTATCTAAAAGAAATTTATCCTTTTAATGGTTAACTATGTCTCAAAACGCAACATATTGATGCAACAAAAATTGAAAAACCAGGGGTAAACGGGGTTGAAAATCAGGACGACATTTCCCCAAAAACATGTGGGTGGATTGTTTTCACCTTCGCTGTCTCAAATTCCAAACTATTTTATCATCTCTAAGAGTTCTTTTCCCGTAGGTAATGCAATGGCCTATCATATGCACCTGCTTAAATCCTCAGAAAACAGACAAAATCCAACATATGACTGTCTGAAATCTGTTGGTATACTTTCCGTGCTCCTTTGAGACCTGATATTTCTCAAATTTTCAAATATTGCACTTGTTAAAATTCTTAAACGTCCTTAAAATTCATCTTCGGTATGTTTTACATCTTAGTTTCACACTCTAAAAGTATATGTTTCATCATAGAAGTATTGATGAAAAAGCCATAAGGGTCATCCATGGCTATACCTAAAATTCGTAAATTTGAAACCTTATATTTTCAATTTTTCAAATTTTGGACTTGTTTTAAATCATTAACTTCCTTAACCTTTAGCGTGCTGCCGGCGGACTCGTCCGCCGAAACTAAAATGTCTCTCACAACTGCCGGCGGACCCGTACGCCCGATTTCAATCTTTTAAAAACTTTACTTTTTCGCGCCATTCGTATTGTCCAATTAGATTGCCCGATTTATTCAGTGCCTAACATGACTTCCTGTTGACCTAGAAATGGCGATATTTCGAAAAATAATTCTCAATTCAACAATTTAAACAGTGTTTTAGTCGTTTTTAGTGAACGAATCGTACAAAATGGTGGACAAATACGATCACAACGAAGATGTGGAGGAAATGTATTACGATTTCGAGCTCTTTAGGCTCTTGGAAGCCGATAACGGTCATCGAAAATAGAAACTAGAATATTTTCTGAATTGAAAAATTGAACATTCGATCGCTGCAAATTTGGATTCTGACCAGACGAAGAGGCGGAGCGGCGGATTCCGGAGGAGTATTCATGGTATATTTATGCCCAGTCGTGTTAATGTACGAAAAAATTCATGAGAACATTTTTTTTCATGAGCCAGGCCACTGTATCTTCCCTTTGTGAAAATTTTATCCAGATTCATTCAGTAGTTATTGAGATATTAATTATTTAGTCCAGGTATATCATTTTTTGCACTCTTTGAAAAATAAGCCAGTTGCGTGGGATATATTTGCTGAAATAAGGCAGCATGGTAAAGGTTAAAACCCATCAAAATTATGTTTTACATCTTTAGTTCCATACTACAAAACCATAAATATCATCAAAGAGGGATGGATCTAGAAACTATAGGGGTCAGCCATGGCTATAGCTGGAATTCGTAAATTTGAAACCTTACATTTACAATTTTTCGAATTTTGGACTTGTTTAAAACCTATAACTTCCTTAAAACCCATCTAATTTATGTTTTACATCTTAATTTCACACTATGAAAGCATAAATATCATCAAAGATGGATGGATCTAGAAACTATAGGGGTCAGCCATGGCTATACCTGAAATTCGTAAATTTGAAACCTTATATTTACAATTTTTCAAATTTTGGACTTGTTTAAAACCTTTAACTTCCTTAAAACCCATCTAAATTATGTTTTGCATCTTAGTTCCACACTATAAAACCATAAATATCATCATAGAGGGATGGATCTAGAAACTATAGGGGTCAGCTATAGTCATACACAAAATCCAGTTGTCAAAAATGTCCAATTTTTCGAAAAATTAACAATTTTTTTTTCAGCTCCTACTTCTTCCATGGCTTTGCATCTTTCAAAGTTACTAACCCTGCTATTGGGCAGTTCACATGAATTTTTTCAACCTCTTACAGTGTCTAATTGAAAAGTTAGAATTAAAACAGTAAGAAAATGAGTCACGAATTTGCCCCCTGGGGTACACACTTTGTACTGATATTCAAATTCTTTAGGAGTAATCAGCATCAATTATACTGCAAATTATTCATATATATAATATCTATGTATGTCACTTATAAACATCAAAATATCTAAGGTTATTTAGTGTGAACAATTTTTTCCCCAGGGTGGGTTGTTTTTGGGGGGTGGGGGACTAACTCCTCAAAAAAAAGAACTTCCTACCACTCTGCGAAGCTATCACCTAGGTGGAAATTTCATCCAAGACTCTCCCCTAACTGAAAATACTGCCAAACCAACTATACACCATTTATTGAGAATTTTCCTCCTCGCCCCTTGAGTAGTGAGCCCAGTACCCACAGTACTAATTTTTTTTGAAAAGTGAACCCCCTTGGCAAAATCTGGCTATGGGTCTGTATATTATACTTGCAGAGCTTCCGTCAACTATAATATGATATGACTCGTTTATTGTCTGGTATATTAGATAATAACTGCTTCATTAAGGATGAGCTCATACATATTTGTTAAAAGTGATTACAAGTCCTATTGATGACTTCCTTGGACAGAAATGAAATCTACAATTACTCTGGATGTGTCATATAATTGGTGCTTATGTTAAATGTATTGAGAACATGAGACCAAAACTCACGGAACGCCTACAGGGCAACTGAGAATTGCCATATAAATACAAGTCGTATACATAATGCATTCAAAATAATTATGTAATAAGTTCTATTTCTACGATTACATTATATTCGTGTTATATGTATCATAACATGATTACATTAGTCAGAACTATGGTAAACTACATATCTAAACTACAAAACACCAACTAAACTTAAAAATACAAAAAAATATATAAGATAACAATTATAGTGTGGTGCACACACAATACATTATGACCATGCTAAATTCTTAAATGGATGGTAAATGAATTTGCCAATATGTCTTTGCAAGGTTACATTTTTACTAGAAATAAGATTGACAAATAAATTTTCACTTTGTAAATCCAAGTTAGGTAAATTTCACGGGCTTTTGTATATAATATTTGCCTATTCTCATCATTTTTTGTACAAGCTAAAAAGAAATGACATTCATCCTCTACATCTTTACAAATATTACATAATCTTTCCTCTATAGGTTTTGGTTTTGGCTTTGTATGTCTTCCAGTCTCAATTGCTAACTGATGAGAACTCATTCTAAATCTACTTGTAGCCAATCTATACTTTTTATTATCTAGTTTCAAGTACAATTCTTTACCAAAATCATTTTTGAATAATTTGTACGTTCTCAATATAGGATAAGTGTTCAAATCATTTTTCCATTTTTCTACAAATAATATTTTTAATTTCTTTTCAACCATGTTCACCAGATTTTCAGTATCCAGATTTTGAGAGCATATAAGACCAAAGCTTATGCAACACCTATTGGGTAACTGAGCATTATGGTACAAAGACATATAGTAGATGTTATGCATAAGGGTAAAAAAGTAGAAAGGAAATTAGAGTGAGATGTATGAAAGCTTTGTTATAAAAAATGTAATAAAAATGCAATACTGTATATTACAAAATACATGACATACTTATGCATTCAAAATAATAACTCAAATGTAATACATTATCAGTGTTCTTCATATTTTTCTCGTTACCAAGTGGGTGCAAATAGATTTTCAGGTGGGTGCAGGCCTGTTTTTAAAATTTCATGTGGGTGTTACGCCCACTTGCTTTTATGCGCGAGATAACTGATTCTATTGATGACTGTGCTTAGCAATTTTGTATAATGGTGACTGTGTCATATAATTGGTGGTTATATATCGAGACCATTTAAGACCAAAGCTCTCGCAACATATACTATGAAACTGATGTTTGCGTCATTAAAATGCGTCATACTTTGATGAGAATGATGTTTGATCACGATTGTTGGTCATTATCAAATAATTTTTCAAATTTCAAAGAGATGTCTTATGTAAAAACTTATAACTACAGGACGAAATTTCAAGATGGCTGCTAATTTTAAATTGCCACTTTTTTCAGACGTTTATGATTTCTGATAATCAAATACTGGTTATCGGATTTGATGTAGTTTTTAAAGGTGTATATGACCTCTACTCGAGAATTTCTTCATGTAATGGTTGTAGATTTTCCCAACTGTATGCATTCCCCACTGCATTAGGCCCCACTGGGTCCAATTTGGCAAACAAAATAAACTATGGGGTTTGATTTGCCATCTGTGACTTGACCCATCGGTGTAAATTTCATTTTGGTCAAAATAGCTTAAATGCAGATGAGACAGTACCACTTGTAATAAATTGTTTAAATGTTGTATTTGCAGAGAATCTTTGTTCCATGTGTAAGTAGTGTTAGACACCATAACCACTATGAGTTCTCAAGGTGGCGTAAGAAGTACAAACAGCCAATATGGCGGTATAAGCTAAAGGATAAACGAGCCCTGATTCCACCCGATGCCTGGGCTGAGCCTCTTTATGAACGGCACGAGAAAATTGCTCGAGGGGAAGAGGTAATCTGAAGGATGATTTTTACAATTAATTCACGAGAATGTTTCAGAAAATGGAATGTTTTTGATTATCAAACAAATATTCATTGCTTCACAAGTTTAACATCTCAGACTGATATATCTTATCAAATGTGGAAGATATTTAAAGACTGACGTTCATGAAATTTTTAGGTTGTTCCCAAATCCTCGTAAACCAATTCATTGTTTTTATGTCACCCCCACAAGTGTTAAGATATTGTTTTTTCTGCATGGTGTTTGGCATTCGGCGGTTGGTGTCTGTAACAACTTGCAGCTGGTGATATTTTGCTTGTTAATGCCTTGTCAATATTGTGTGGTGAAACCACCACTCTGAAGCAGTTTCACCACTTAATTGAGATTAGCCCCACCCAATTTACATAAAATCTCCATCTGTTATTAACTTATCATACCTTTTAATGGCCAAGTGCATATAAAAAATTAGAAAAATTATTGGGATTTCATTTTAAGACAGAATGTGTTATTTGAAGAGGACCACAATCATGCTCTTTATGTATATTACATATAAAGAATTCATGCATTGCAATGTATGTAATTTTTAATCTAAATGTATTTGAAATATTCCTTTGTTGTGCCATGTGCGTTTGAGTTTGACTTTTTGGGTTGATCCTGTATTGAACTTATTTATAGTTCAATCAATGAATGAGAGTTTTAATTAAACACAAACATTTACAGTTAGCATTTTATATGATGGGTATAGGTTCTTTGGGTGGGGCTAAATTTCATCACACATGTACTTCTTTTTATTTGGTCCAATTTTTATGTCACCACCAACATAATGTTTGGCTGTGAATGGTTTACATTCAGCGGTCACCATCTGTAACTAATGGTAGGTGGTAACATTTTGCACATTAATGCCTTGTTTAAACTGCCATAGATTTCCATGTCAAAAACCATGAAATGTGAACACAAGCCAGTCCGGACACTCTTGGCCAGTCCCAGTCACTGTTCCACAACTAGTTACTATGACGCAACGTCAATGTAACAAAATGGATGAACTTCCTGGTTATGAGTTTTTTGTTTTCTCGATTTAAACCTACAGTTTACTTATAAGTCAAGTTGCAGATTATAATGTTATATACTATATTGTCTAACTTTGTGCCAAATAATAATCCGAAACATGACTTATACGTAAGTTTAAATCGAGAAAACAAAAAACTCGTATCCAGGAAGTTCATCCATTTTGTTACATTGACGTTCCGTCAAAGTAACTAGTTGTGGAACAGTGCCAGTGGCATCCAAATTAGACAGGTTTTACTGCAGTTTCATTTATGTAACTTATTATGCAAGCTGTCCAATTGTGTAATAGAATATATAATTGAGACGTGGATGCTAAAAGACCTGGAGGTGGCATAATACCTATATAATAATTATATGGTTAGTACCTGTATACATTATATGAAACAAAACTCAGATGGGATATTTTATAAGACCGAGATTCTTTATGATTTATGTCGTAATATATGATATAATTTATAATAAAAATTTATTATGTTCATTGTCAAAAGACTGATATTGCTTGTAGCGGGATCAGATGTCCAGATATAACCCCTTTTTTGTTCGGCTTTTTCAGGAAAGCAACAAACTTGGCACATTTGTAGAAACATATGATTTGAGTGGAAAATGATTTCAGGGCAAGTGGTTGGGGGTGGTCTTCATGGATTTTTTTACCTCTGACCCCCACCCCTATCAGGTGGGGAGGGGTAAATTATAAAAAATAAATAAAAATGGTTTTAAAGTATTTTTGTTTAAATGACTTCATTTGGTGATTGCTTTGAGCCTTGAAATGATGTAAAACTCATTTTAGAAGTGGTATTTAGTGAGGAAAATACATTTAAACCCAATTATCCAGGAAAAATTCATTATTTAAAGGGCCAAATATGGGACGTCGATTACTGTATTTCAAGAATGTGATGACTAATAGCCTTAAAAAAATTCACAGTAATAGAAGTATAAGTGTTTATTGCAGATAGAAAATATTGCTTTGGTAGCTGATGTATTCTCAGAGAAAAAAAATATCGGAATTTCAATTTTTTGGTGCATTTGGCTCAGGGGTAACCTTATCTTACCTCAATAATTTTTAAGATAGTCAATGTATGCATCTCATATGAGCTCAGAATGGTGCTTCTAGTCTTGTTTTGTCATATTATTGCTAATTAGATGTACAAAAAAGATTGGAATCAAAAAAAAATTCAAATTTTCATTTTCGATTCTGAATGGCCAGGGGTAACCATATTGTACCTTAATAATTTTCAAAATATGTAATATATCCATCTCAAATGAGCTCAAAATGGTGCATCTAGTCTTGTTTTGTCATAATATTGCTAATTAGAAGTAAAAAAAAGATTGGAATTTTTTTTTTAATCTAATTTTCATTTTCGCTTCTGAAGGGCCATGGGTAACCATATTGTACCTTAATACTTTTTAAAATATGTAATATATCCATCTCAAATGAGCTCAATATGGTGTATCTAGTCTTTTTTAATCAGATTTCCCTTGATTAGATGTAGAAAAATGATTGATAATTCTTAAAACTCTAAATTTTCATTTAAGCTTCAGGTGTTCCAGGGGTAACCATAATTTAGCATAATAATTTTCAAGATATGTAATATATGCATCTCAAATGAGCTCAAAATGGTGCATATAGTCTTGTTTTATCATACCCCAAATAAGATGTAGAAAAATTATTGGAAATTTCTTAAAAATCTGAATTTTCTATTTGACCATATTTTTAACATAATAATTACATATTATTACATATGCATCTAAAATGAGCTCAAAGTGGTTTATATTTGAGCTTTTGACAGCCCAGGGGTAACCATACTTAAGATAATAATTTTCAATGTATGTTACATATATGCATCTCAAATGAGCTTGAAATGGTGTATATAATCTTGTTTTGTCATATCATTTCTAAGGAGATGGAAAAAATGATCAGATTTTGATTTAGCTTTTGACTGGTTATAGGTGGCCTCATTTTACCATAATAATTTTCAAGATATGTCACATTTGCAACTTAAATAAGCTCAAAATGGCATTTTGTGATATTCATATGTTCATATATTCATACTGAGATATAAAATGATAAATCAATGAAGTATTATATAAAGATATTAGGTTTAAGAACACTTGCATCACCTCTAGGTACACCTTCCATTCCTCCAAATCAGATGATTTAGAGTAGTAGTTAAATGCAGATGTGACATCGCATAGAATGATTGAATGAAAAATGGGGAGTACTAAACTTTGGTCATGGCCAATTGATCTTGCAATATCATGCACAGATAGTTATTGAATGGATTTTCTTTTACCAAATGCAATCCAAGATGTAGTGGGAACAAGAGGGAGCTGTCCTCCTTCCAGGCATCAACACTGAAACCCTCAAGAACATTGGCAAGATGATAGTGACCAAGTAATGCAATGTCTTAGGCGCCATCACGGATATTTCTCCATACGAGAGACTGCTTCAATCATTGCCTAGCAATTGATTTTGATGTAGTAAAACTGAAAATGTCAATTTGGATTGCATATGGTAAGGGGAAATCCTTCCAATATCTACCTGCCCACAATATTACAAGACCACTTGGCCATGACCAAAGTTTAGCCCTCCCAATTTTTCATGCAATCAATGGATTTGATATGTTACCTTTGCATTCTACTACTTCTCTAAATCATCTGATTTGAAGGAATGGAAGGTGTATACCCAGAGCTATTGCAGTTGTTTTTAAACTTTGAATCTTTTTTTAGAAACATTGCAGTTGTAGAGTCATTTGTTATTCTGATGCATTCTAACCCACAGTTTCTATCACCACATGAATGTGGTTGGACTACTCCCACTGCTGATACTGAGGCCAAAACATATGAAAATGTGGGTCCTATGAGGCGGATATCTGTATAATAACAAAAGATGTTGCATCCGAGGCATGCAAAGAACTTGTTTGATGTTTAAGGAGTGTTGAGGAAACATATGCAAATGTTTGAAATCATATCTCATTTGCTCTGGGCTATGTAGCCGTAGGCCCAGGGAAGACTGTCAGAATCTATAAATCCTGACCTGTTTGATTATGTTTTATGGATTTGGATTATATTTTCAAATGATTATACATAGAATCTTAACAATGTTACTACAGTACTCAGTACAAACTGGACTGTCAAACATTTTCAAATCTTAGAAAAGTGCTCGATAAAACTATAGTACAGTATTGAGCTAGTGGTACTAAAAAGGAACAAATGGATGTTGTGATTCTTTATATAAATAAATAAATGGATGTTGAGATTTTTTAAAATTTTTTTTTATTTCAGAAGGAATAAATGGCAAAACTTGACTATAATCAACATTTTGAGCTCGTTTGAGTAACAAGTGTGATATATCTTTATTTAAATTATTACGGTAAAATGGCATCAAAAGCTAAGGCCGTAAGAATTAGATTCTTTGTTTTGCTTCCCCTTGCTTGCATGATTTTGACTAAATCAGAAAAAACAAACACATCCAAATAGCAACCACAAGGGTCTGAAAGTAACATCGCATTTCATTCAATCAGAATCTGACGAAATGGCGGATAAATTGATGTGCGTCAAAATTGACAGTGTTATTGATTACTTAGGCATACATTTTTTTATTTTTACTCTTGAATAATACCTATATTTAAATATATTGTATAAACGTATAGATCTGTGTTTGTATCACTGCAAATTGGTATGTCATTCCTTTTAATGCCCATAAAATGTATACATTTCTCAGCAAACAAGTTTGTGTTTTTTTGAGTTTGTGTTTGTTTCCTTGTACCCTTGCATGATTTGGATTTTGCCAGGACGCAAACCAGAGAATCTAATTCTTATGGCCTAATATGAAAATATCATTTTTTCAAGTTTCCAAACATTTTTTACATTCCCTAGAAATAATATATGACAAAAGAAGATTAAAAAAACCTTTAAAGCTCATTTGAGATGCATATGTCTTGTACTTTAAAAATTATTAAGGTAAAATATGGCTACCCATAGGCCACAATAAGCTAAAATGAAAATTTAGATTTTTAAGAAATGTAAAATAATTTTTCTACATCTAATCAAGGGTAATCTGATAAAACAAAGCTATATGCACCATTTTGAGCTAATTTGAGATGCATATATTACATATCTTGAAAGTTATTAAGGTAAAATATGGTTACCCCTGGCCTTTTAGAAGCGAAAATGAAAATTTGGATTTTTGAAAAATTTCCAATAATTTTTTTACATCTTATTAGGAATAATATGACAAAACAATGCTCTATGCATCATTTTGACCTCATATGAGATGCATACATTGCATATTTTAAAAATTATTAAGGTAAAATAAGGTTACCCCTGAGCTGCATGCACTTAAAAATTGAAATTTCGAGAATTTTTTTCTCAAAAAATACATGAGCCATCCGTGGTATATTTTCTATCTGTGATAAACACTTAAACCTCTACTACTATGAATTTTTTCAGGACTATCAGACATCACATTCTTGAAATACAGTACTGGATGTTCCGTATTTGGCCCTTTAAACAACGAATTATTCTTAGATAATTGGGTTAAAATGAGTTTTTCTTGCTACAGACAACTTCTTAATTGGGTTTTACACAATTTCAAGGCTCAAAGCTATCACCAAATGAAGTCATTCAAAGAAAAATACTTTAAAACCATTTTTATTTAATTTTAATAATATACCCCTCCCAGTCTGGTAGGGGTGGGGGGTCAGAGGCTAAAAAATCCATGAAGACCACCCCAAATCACTTGCCCTGAAATCATTTTTGACTCATATCATATGATTCTACAACTGTGCCAAGTTTGTTGCTTTCCTGAAAAAGCCGAACAAAAAAAGGACATCTGACCCCGCTATTGGTTAAGTATTGTTAAATGATGGCAATGTGGAGCATGAAATTTGGTATTCTCAATAACCTCGCCTCATTTGTAATTTCCGATGGCTCTACGTGATATTGATAATATGTAAAATAAATTAATTAATGAAATGAGCATATTTCAGCAGGTACAATGACAAAACTGATTTGAAAATCAATGTTCTCAATGAATTTTTATCACCAATGGTGCATGATATTGTCCCCGTGATATTATTTCCAGTATTGTTCCATTTTTTGCTTATGTTCTTGTGCAGTAAGTGGAACACCTTTGATAACTCCAGATAGTGTTCCACTTTGGAGATGTTCCACTTGGAGGTGTTTCACTTATAGGGGTATTCTGCTTATTTCATTGTATAAGTCCATGGAAAAAACGAGGTGTTCTTTTTACAATAGAGGTGTTCCATTTATAAGTTTTATTTTATGTTACCACCACAAGTGCACAGTGTTCAGTTGTTTGTGGTTGGTGTTTGGCAGTCAGCATTCGACAGTAGTGATCTGTAACAAATGGCAGGTGGTGACATTTTGTGTGTTAATGCCTTGTATCTATCATATAATTTCCAAAACGATCGGTTATTTAGTATTTTCTGTGTTTGTTAAGGTGGTACCACAGACTCCAGTGATGCTGCACTTGGTTCAGAGAATCAAGACACTAAGAGGCCAACCGCATACTGTAAAGACCCTCATGGAGAAACTAGGCTTAGATGGACCAGTAAGTTGTTGAAAGCTATCTTAGTGTTTTTTAGAAAAAAATTATATTCTAGGCATTTGGTTTCAGTTCATTAAATAGGAAATATGTTGTATGCTTATATTGGTTTTGTTACCATTTTTAGAAAAAAATTAGATTTTTAATCTATTTGTACAAGTGGCTGTAGGTTGACTCCTAAACGTATCCTAAAATATTAAAAATAATTTTTGAAAACAAGAAATAAGTTAAAAAAAGAAAACTAAAAACAAAAATTGAAACTGTCCATTGTTTAGTTAGTCTGAGCATTATCCACTATCCATTGTGACATAGCACCTGAACGGATCTTTAACGGATACATGCTTCTCTTACGTTTTGTTTTAACAAAAATTTATTTTCAAGATTACAAGAAACTAATCTTAAATGCAGTATAATAAATGCAGACAATTGTATTTCCAGTTACATAAGATGGTGATTAAAAAGAATGAGCCTTCAGTGAACAAGGAACTAATGAAAGTGAAACACTTAATCAAAATTCAACAAATTACATTTCCCTACGGCCCCCCTACCTCTGATTCAGATCTCGATCACACAATGGTGAAAACTAACGGGGAATGTATGGTCACTAAGGAAATCAATTCTAGCGAAATACCAGTAAAGTTCGAAATGGATGAGGATCGTAAAAAATGGTTGATGGATAAGGATACGCTGAAGCGCCATCTACAGTTAAAACAGCAGCAGTTTAAAGTCGGGGAAGAATATTGGAAAGAGCAAACTGTTTATAAGTACAATCAAGATGGTAAAGAACATAGATATTCTCACAATAAGAGCCAAGAGAAAATCAAGGAACATTATAACATGGGGAGACCTTTCAAAGGCAAATTATAACAACATTACTTTAGTTAATAGAAATTCCATCAGATTTTTAATAGAAATATAGCCCTCTGTTTAGAGAGGGGGTGCCCAGGTTTGTTATAAGAATGATTTGTTCAAATACTTTAAGCACTAAGCATTTTATTTTGATGTACTATGTTATGATTTGATCAGAAATTAGTTATTTTGTGTGGTTGATTGTTTGAAAAACAACATTTGTGCACTTACATATGTATTGGATATGGATATTTGATATGATTAATATTTGTCTAAAGAATAAATAACCTTGAAATTAAATTTATTTTTTGATTTTAATTACTAAGTTATTCAGCTAATAGAGAAGTTTCACTGAGCATTAGTTGAAAACTTAAATTATTGATACCTGGAATCTCATTGGTGTAACAATGTACGGACAGCCATCTGTGAACCAATCAGATAACAGATGCTTGATATATGTTTAGTTTGTGAACCAATCCAACCAAACCAACCAAACCAACAGTTGGCTGATGCATGTTTAAATTGTGAACCAATCAAATAACATGGCTGATACATGTTTAAATTGTGAACCAATCAGATAACAGATGGCTGATGCATGTTTAAATTGTGAACCAATCAGATAACAGATGGCTGATACATGTTTAGTTGGTGAACCAATCAGATAAGAGATGATGTTTAATTTGTCAACCAATCAGATAACAGATGGCTGATGCATGTTTGAATTGTGAACCATACATGTTTGGTTTGTGAACCAATCAGATAACAGATGGCTGATATGTTAATTGGTTATGTGAACCAATTAGATAATGATAACAGATGATTGTGGAAACAATGAAGATAATCAGGAAAACCAATTCCTTCAATTTTTTCCTCTTGGAATTTCTGTTCAATATTGGTTAGATTCATTTTAGCGACCTTTTCTGTCATCTCTCCGATTACAATCAATATAATTATTGACAAATTATGATGTTACTTCATTCTGATGCTGCAAATAAGCCAATCCTGGCAAGGAAAATTGCCATACATGAAATTCCTTGGGATTTTTGACTTCATTCATATCCATGTATATATTCATATATGGGCACTTTATCAAATGGTCTGAAGGAGGTATTTCAATTTTTATGGCAAATATGTACAATTTTGAATTTATTGCAATAATGATAACATCATACACTTGTACAAATATGTCAAGGACTCATTTATGCTCCAATATTTGATGGCATGTTTACCTAGATTTCATCTATGTCTGCTACATTTCCCTTGATTAATTAGTATATATGATATATAGTCTTCTTACATTGTGAGTCTGCATATTATGTTTCCAAATCCTTCTTATTTGAACTCTACATGGTTTCGTAACCAACTTATTACTTGAATAATGTATGTACATGGTGGGCCAAAAATACTATCCCAATTTTTAAGTGAACCCCTGAAATTTTTCTGAAAAGTGAATCCCCCTGGCAAAAGCTGACTACGGCCCTGCTAATGTGTATGTCTGATAAGTGGGGACCACTATACCATAAGATCATTGTAAAGTTGAAACATCAAATATTATCTAGAAATCACTTTTGCACCCCTCATGCCTGATTTCCTTTTTTACCAAAATACACCAGAAGGTATATTTTTGCAATTCTGAAAAGTATGATTGAATGCTGCATTTCCAGTGTAAATATTTTTGAAATCCATGGTTTATAAAGAGCAGTTCAATAAATTATTGACATATTCAAGCCCACCCTGTAGATGCTTAGGTAAGTATTATTTGTTATTTACGTAAATCTAATCAGAAATCAATGTTTATATTGTGTACGTAACACAATGCCTATTCAGCAACCATCATAATTTTAAAGCTGCTAGCACTATATATAAACCTTGACGGGGATCCTCAGCGCATGTGGGGTACCTTTTTCAACGTTTGGTATGGCAATGGACCCATATTTTAGGATTTGGTATGGGAATGCCCGGAAATTTCTGACTTCTGAGGTATGGCAATGGTCGGACTTTTGCTCTTCTGGTATGAGAATGGTTGTTGTAGATACGTTACCTAACATTCGTGGTATGGCATTGGTCCAGTAGTTGCAAATTTGTATGACATTGATCCTATATTTCATTTACTTTGAATTAAGGTATGGCATTGGTCCTACATTTTGACATTTGGTATGGCATTGGTCCCATAATTGGGCATTTGGTATGGCATTGGTCCTATATTTGGACATTTGGTATTGCCTTTGAGCGTTATTTTGGTTGGTATGGGAACATATTGAAATTTGACAGATTGGTATGGGAACATATTGATATTTGAGGCTTCAGCCTAGGACCCCCGTCGAGTTTTATATACAGTGAAGCCCCCGGGCCCTATACATACTATAGTGAACCTATGAATTGTTAAAAAAACGATGTTTTATGGTCAATTTATAATAACGGGTTTTCTGAAGTGATTTAACTGGGTTGGACAGTTAGTTTGGGGAAAAAAGTATATCGGCTAATTAGGGAGGGGTGCATTGGCTTAACATGGCGTTGACTATTGACTTAGCGTCGGGATACCACCATGTACCTGGTATGTTACCATGGTGATAGATACCCAAATTTTCCCCAACGTTAATTTTTTGGCAACCCAGCTAAATCACTCCAATAAACCCTAATGATAGTATTTGCACAGAAAAATATCATGTTTTTAAATATTCATACGTTCAGAAAATGACAAATGGACTATATTGAGTACTTCTAGGGAAGGTGTAAAGATTTTTGCCAAATTTTCTACTGCAATCAATGACAGGTGAGTTCAACTCTTGAAGCCTGGAGTCTTGAAATGCTTTTCTGAAAAAATTGGAGATTTTGGTGTCCCATAATAATGAATCAGGGATAGTAATGATTACCAGACTATGGACTATAGCTTGTAAATCAAACATCAAAAAAATGATTAAGATTTACAAAGGAGCATGTAGGTTATTGCAAACAATTTCAGAAGGTTATATCTTTGATTATGACTATTTTTTGACAATGAAGACAAGTTTATCTTTAAGATCAATTCATTATCTCAAAGATAATTATATACAGCAATAATAAAGTCAAACAAACGCGGAGATATTTAACTAGCAATTACCCTGCATGCAGAGTCTAGTTAAACTACACTCTGCCTAGTAGAGACCATATTACAGTTTAGTAGCCCCGCCCCCACGACGGGTACCGGTGACAGTTTGGGTAAATCACTTTTGACCTACGCGCTGACCTTCCACCAATCAGCGAGATTGAAGAAACATTCTCCAAATGCGTTCTAATTAAATATGCGCATGTCATTGGTCAATTCCGGGCTCAACGATGACGTCAGAAGGAATGACCATATAAAGAACGTCGGTCAAATTTGGCCGACGAACACTGATTGGCGCGGTGAGTTCACAGGTTTATTTTAGTTTGAAAGAGTGAAGACGAAGCTCTCTTTTAAGAAGTGAAGTCAAACGAATGCAAAGGGTAACTAGCAATCAACCCATCAACACACTTTTTCAAAGATGTTGACCCCATTTTCACCAAAAATGCAATCATTTTTTACAATGTTTAATGCATTACTATTCTTTATTTTGATGTATCAAATAGTTCTTGAAAGAAAAACTTAATTGCTTGAAGATAAGTGTTCCCCATGTTATTTCTCCTTTGAAAAATCTCATGCTATCCATTGGTTTTAGTTCATTTTTGTCATCCAAATTCAGTATCTTTTAAGTCCCTGGTGCAATCAACTTTTCCTTTTAGGAAATCGAACATGTCTCAAAGCAAATCCTAATTATGCATTCAACAATATAATAAAAGGTTGCGTTTTTGGTGAAAATTGGGTCAACATTCTTGAAAAAGTATGTTGATTGGTCCATTGCCCCTTCAATATCACTTAGGTCTGATTAACTAAATTATCATTATATATACTTTTCTTGAAGATAATAGATGGATCAAAAAGATACACCCATGTTCATGATCAGAAAATATTCATAATTCAAGTTAGAATTGTTTGAAATTGTTTGCGATAACATACATGCTCCTTTTCAATTTATTTCTTCAGGTGAACTTGTAAACCATGGGCTTTCAAACCACCATGGTTTGGAAATCAACCATTCATTTATTGTAGGAACATTGTAAATCAAAGATAAATAAAAATCAAATCATAAAATACATAGTCATAAAAATTTATTAATTACTAATGTCATAAAATATACACAGTTAATGTAGTGTGTTATACATGTACATATAGGATTTACATTTCAGACACATAATATAACTTAAAATGCTACAAATGTGAAACATGGAGACAGTTCTATCTCATTTTAAAACATCCATCTTAAAATGACTGTCTGGCATGTCTGTGCTAATATCTATCTTTTCTCTATCTAAATGATGCAAGTATTGAATTTTTTTTTTTCATTTCAAATATTTTTCATGAAATTGAGTTTTTAAAAATAGAAAACACCATATTGATATGTGTAAAATTGACATCAACTAAATATTACATCATTTATTACGCAAGATGTATTCTTCATCGACACAACCATCAAGATAACCTGTCACACAGCAAGGTAAAATTACATCATTTATGAAGCGTTAAGACACAAAGCTTCATCACATCTCAAAAATCCTTCATTATAAAGCTTCATGTCATAATGCTTATGTTAAATCTCCTGTGTGACCAATCACTACTAAAAATACCCATAATTTATGTAAAAGTTAAACAATGGTTCGCTATGGTCCATATATGTATAATATGCCTTGTTAGACAAGACACAACATTTGTGAAATAAATATTGGAAAATATACAACTTTTTTAAATAGGCAAATCCATCCAGATTTTATTGTACAAACAGCATATGAAGTTATATGATCTCACACCTATGAATGTGCATTTAAACCTATAAATGTGCATTTAACTTTTTACGCATGTGCATTTAAACCTTTTACGCATCCCAAAAGCACCTCAGGTCTAGGTGTAACAAGTTCATTGACTTAGTTTGGAGTGAAAAATGGCAAAGTTCATTAAGTAGGCGAATACTTGTAATCATTTTTTAACACAACATATCAAGTTTCTCTGACATATCAAAAACTAGAAATGATAGATTTTTGAAACATGAACGAAATATCATGATTATACCAAACATGTGATACGATACACATGTAACATCGTGTTATAACATGTGATAGTCTGATGTCTTACAAAACAGTTTTGTAAGCGAACATCTAAGCTTTCATAAGGTACCACCTTTTAATGATTTGTCATGCAATGAGTTTCTTTTATCAATTTAAGATGATAACTTGGCACCCTTCCATTTTGTTTCATAAACATAATCATTAAGAAATGATCTATTTTTTATTATTAATATTTTTGCAATTTGTCAAAATTGGTGTAACAATACTGAATAGAACTGGCAATAGTGGTGCCAAAAGGATCGTCGTGAAAGGGCTAAAGGTGTTCCACTTAACTAAGTTCTTTTAAGGTGTTCCACTTAACTAGGTCCTTTAAAGGTGGCCCACCTCCAGAAGGACTCTGCTTTGTGGCTTTTACTTTTTCATTACTCAATTTAGCTTGACAAATCCCTCATTTATTTCCAGATATGAGAAAGACAACACAAGCTTACTTATAAAGATAATGAAGAGATTATACTCTTGAATTTTTGGGTTTACACAAGGCATGCATCCTTTTTGCCAAATCTTGGAACTTATTCCATGAAGTCTCTATTATAAATAAACCGAAAAGTCCACAATTAGACAAAGTTTAAACTAAAAAGTATGCTACTCACAGTTACAAAAAATATATATTTGTATGTATTTGCAAACTACTAATGCTCCTTTGTTTATCGTCTCTATAATGACCAGGCTAGAGGTGAGATCTATTATCAATTATCTAGTTGAGAATGAATTTGATACTGTGAGAATTGTAGCTCTGTGAATCAGGTCTTCACCATATATTCTTTGGCAATAATGTCAAATGAATTGTCTCAAAAATGCCAGATGAGTTCATTTAGCGCACCATGTGTAGTGATAGCATATCATGGAACCATGTGTTAAGTCAGCCAATAAAAAAGAGTCTCACGATCTGGCCCATAATCAAGACACATGCGAGGAACACGAGTGATCTTCGCTCAATTACCCATCGTCCAATAGTGTTCATCAAACTATCAGCTAGTCATTGTTTCTCTTTAACACATTTCAAAATCTTTCTCATCGCTAGTAATCGTTCTTTCAGGGACTGCATCGCGAGGATTTTGATTTGTGCTGCTGGATTAAGAGGTAGAACTCCCAGTATCCACCAAGCCCATGTGGGGCCATTATCGAGAAGCTGTGGATCGTTATCTGGTTCTGGCATTGTGCCAAAATGTGATGTAATCTGGGCCATTTGACGGGCTGATAGAGATGAGATCCATTTCTTCACTTCAACGTACATTTTGTCATGGATCTTTTTCAATTCTGAAAGTAAATGAAACCGAAAATATAACATTCTGTATGCAAATTTCACAAGATACATTTAATGAGCTACATGTGACTGTGAATATTTTTTGACATAAATCATCAGTGCATTCATTTGGAGTGAGAAGAATAGAAATACTCAAATGGCAAAGTGATATTTTGGAATTACAAGTTACAAATTACAAGCATGCAAGTTATATAACAGCAAACATTGCCAGTGTTCGGAGATTAAAACTTTTTAACCCAAATGTAATGCTGTAAGGCCAAAATATAAATTTTGGGTTAACATTTTCAGTTAACGATATATGGTTTCACAAATTGCATTTCAATCAATTCCTTGTATATGTAATGAATAAAATAAAACATTTATGAAGCTATTTTGGAATGCTTGGGATTGTGGAACTAATGTATATTTCTACTTTGGTTCAGCCTTCGTATTAATTTGCAACAAGAACTTTTCGATTTAGCGCCAGAATAACTTGGCACAATGGTATGTCATGGTCAGGTGACCTCAAAAAGTGCACAAAAATGACAACATTTCAGAGCTTGACAGTCTTATCTTAATAAATCATGTTGTGTGGGAAAATATCACAAGCTTTGTAGTCAAAATAACAAAGGGGATGCTATTTGTGCTAAAAACAAGATAATAAGAGATTCTTACATTGGTTTTAGTACAACTTAAAGCCCATCGCCTACATGCATCTGATGTTACATATATCCACATGTGATATTTTACATAACCAAACAGTATTGATGGTGAGGTGACAACGGGCTTTATAATGAAATATTTTATATGAGATTTTGTGTGAAACAATAATAAATGAATATATTTCTTATATAAGAAACCCATGAGAAAAACTTAAAACTTCTTAATAGTTGTTTTTAATAATAACAGGAAGCATTCTGAATTGAAGAAAATGTGCTAATGATCACATGCAATGCAATGTGCCTGGCAACCATAATAAAAACCCAACATGTCAACTATTTGAAAAACATTGATGTTTTGACTCATCTCAACTAATATTGATTAATCAATTTATACTTTTCTTCAACATACATGTATATTATAATGGCTTCTGTATGAATGAAATGTCTCTTGGTATTATGGTCTGGATTGCGATAATGGAACCTGGTGGGGGGGGGGGGGGGTATTAGACTTTGTTTCTTTTCAAGGCAATCCACATTATATCAGTGGCTGATTTCCGTACAAAGATGAATCAATTCAATTTGGATTTAAACATGAGAAAATCATGATCAAAATCATTTCCAGAATGGAGTGAAAGTTGTGCATTCACATTTACATCAAATATTTGATTCTTCCTAAATGACCACAAATAACTATCCACATGTGTTATGTTACCAGGAGTTATAAGAATTCCTCAATGCAGGCAATGACCAAATGTAAATGGTTTTGAAACGAAGTCATTCATGCAAGGGCCACCTTTTCATATAGTCCTGCACCGAGACCTGTGATCTCCCCATATTATTGTAGTAGAGTCTTAAAATTGTTGCGTGATCTTACCTTCAGCTTCTGGGCCTTGGACCTTTATATCTTGAATAAACTCAACCTCTGCAGTGTTGTAACCATCCCTCATGCCCTTACTCTTCACGTGGAACCTCCTTCCTCCTATACAGTCCACTACAGAGCGACCATCGGGGAAAAATTGGACATCTCTGATCTCAAGCATACAGCCGAAGTCTGCGAAATCATCCCTGAAACCAATCATTGTAATGTGAGTAAAGAAGACTGTATTTGAATTAAAACATTATATTTTTTCAACAAAAACTTATTCCTACGTGATGATTTTACTAAGATATAAAAGAATTGTTATTTGTAAGCAAGGGAAATTAGATTATACAATAGGGATTTCCATATGGAATGAATCATTTTATCTACTATGTATTTTCATCAACTTAAAAAAATAAAATAAATCAAAGCTATCTCTCTAATGAAAACACTTACTCTTCTGGTCCATTGGCAACAGTCATCCCAAACTGTCGTGTTCCTGCCTCCATAGCCTGCCTGACCATCAATCGATAACGAGGCTCAAATATATGTAAAGGACAGGGAATCTTGGGGTACGAGACAGTGCAGACGAATATTGGGATTTTTACTTTCTCCTCCTCAACAAGGCCGGCATACTCTAACATCTCGGCTTCGAAAACCTCTTTACGTTCGGCATACTCCTCAGGGTAATACTTTTGTACGACTTCATTGACAACCTCGGTGGTGGAATCGCGACGTGCCGCCAAATACTGAAATAAAAGCATCTATTTATAAATATTCAATTGAACACTTTTTTAATGCACGCAGTAAATGAGACCCGGTGTATTTCAATTAATATCAATAAAATATTTTGAAGTAATTATTCATGAAGTACTATGCACATGAATGTAAGATGTACAGGGCGTCCATAAAGTTTCCAAACCTTGTAAAGAGACTTCATGGACACCCTGTATATCTACTGCAAAGATAGGAACACAGACAGAAAAGGTACAACCAATTAAGCTCGCCCATGTATATCAAGGATGAATTGAATGTGGGCGAATTATCAAGTCTGTGCTAATTACATACAGGAAAGAGAATGTTTCATAACATCGAGGTGAGCTTGTGTAAGCCATCACTATATACTAGATAAAGTAGGTTATGTAAACCAGATTTCCATAAAAAAAACATTATCACATGAAATCATAACCAAAAGAAGAATTGAAATTTGAAAGTTGGTGCATTAACTGGCACTGTATCAAATTTAAAGAAATTTACAAGGTTTTATCTTACAAAATATAGCAGTAGTTATGAAAGGAAATAAATATATTATGAAAACAACTTTTTGATCAAAATGTAAGAAATATCAATTAGTCACCATAGCAAATATAGGTGTAGTTTTGAAACAAAAATAATATATGAAAACAACTTTTTGATCAAACATAAGAAATATCAATAGTCACCTCAGCGAGACAGCTTCTACATGCCGGACAGCTGGTATTGTGGTCAAGACAGCGATCAAGGCATTGTTTACAGAACACGTGGCCACATGGTGTCGTAACTGGCTCATACAATAACCTGCAAAACATAGACACTAATATTAAATAATATTAAATGACAACTTCGCAGAGTGTTTATTATTCAATGTTTCATTTGAACATTCATTATTATTTCGTTGTATGATGGAAATGGGTCGACCCATGTCCATTTCATAATTATCTTTGTTTATCAACTGTTGATAACTGGATACTATCCCTTATTGTCCTAACAATGATACCTCTGAGGATAATATTCAATGTAACCATATGCTCCAAAAAGTAGTTCCTTACAGAAAATAGGCCCCTAATTTGAGGATTTGTTGCATTCATTCAAAGCTTACAGGATAATCAACAACAAAACATCTTTCAATTAACTTAGTCAACAAATGCAGATATTGTACAAACTCTTTATCTGAATTCATCTTACATTTACAAAATAAGGGTATTTTGTAAGCACCAAATAAATCAATGGTTTTGAAAGGTGTTAAGTGTGTTCTACATCAAATAAATCTATAGTTCCCAGGAGTCATTTGAGGACATAGTGTTCACCTAAGAACTAGATTACACAGCCAGATAAAAAGAGGCCACATACATAACATCTGTGTTTACAAAGGACAATTAAGTAACTATCAAGGGAGCATAGAGCATTTTATTTTAATTTATTTCGAGGAGGATTCGCACCAAGCATTCTTTCGTGATCTTCTTTTGACTGGAGTGAACCAATTTGGTAATATTAAAACCAAATTGGTCAATGCGAGTCAATAAGAACTGCCTCCTCTAGTTTCAGAGGTTTGCATATATTAACTCTGATTAATTTGGTATTTTCTGAAATATCTGCCTCTTAATATCTTCACCAAAGATAGATCCCAAGAATTTGTTCTTTCCATACCACCAGGTGAATGAAACCTTGAAAAGGCAAAGAAGAGTACTCATTGCCTAAAAGACTGGGGAACAATAAAGCACAAATTGTTGTTAAGGATGCTTGTATTAATTTGGAGAAAACAAAATTTATTGTTGAAGTAAATACTAAATACATAACAAAGCAAGGTCTAATTCTAAAAATAAAAATTCAACTTAACAAACATCCAAAAATACAATACATCTGACTTCAAGTAATTTTGACCTTTTTAAGTTTCATAATTGAGAGAAACAAGTTTTGTAATGTTGTATACCTACTCAAATACAACAGCGTGGCCCTGGGTATGTTTATACTAAATCAAACACAATCCTTGACATCAATCTGTTTTGTAACTAACCTTTTTGACATGACTGTACACACGAACACATATTTGTTAATTTAAAAATAATTTGATGACGGCAATATATATTAATGTTTTAAAGTGCATTAAAAACTGAAGAGTTATGAAACGACCACTAGCTCTTTATGTAAGCAAGTGTCTAGTTGCATGTCATCTCTGAGCAAATGGGATTATTTATGTAATTTCATTTTATAACTAGACATCTAATTAATTTGAGACAATATCAGAAACTTAATTAAGTGGTGATGATTGCAAATCATACACATTTATAAGTACCAATTAAATATTTTCAACTTGAGCCTTCTTGAAGACAAAATTGTAAGAGCATGGACAAGGGAATGGGGTGATGTGTCTTACCACACCCCCCCCCCCCTCCCTACCAACCCTCGTATTAGTTGACATATACAACAAAACTGTTTAATACATAACAAATTCTGTTAATGCCTACCTAAAGCCAAGACCCCCCCCCATCCTCCCATACTCATCCACATTCATAATGATGAGACATACAACAAAAATATTAAGTAAAAACTGAATCTCTTGGTGCCTACCTAAAGCAGAGTCCACATTCAAAGTCGTCCTTAGTCAGGCACTTGTGGAACTTAGTCTCAAACGTTGTTGTTGAACCTCTTCTTGATGTTGTTGGACTAGGTGGGCTTCCTTGCTCTAAAAATTATAAATAAAATGCTCTTTATAAGTATAGAAATCATGGATTGTCAATGCTTAGAATCATCCAGAGACCACAGACGTGTTCTCAATCAATTTATTATGACAACAAATATGGCCCTCAGAGGCCACCTTACTATTTTTCCCCCTATGCTATATGTATGTTCAATGATATATATAACCCCTCGATGAGATAATTGTGATGACAAAAACAGTCAAAAACAAGAGTTACATAAATAACATCTTGTTGAAATTTTGATAATAAATATGGCCCGAAGAGGCCACCTTACTATTTTCACCTACTAGTATGTTATATGTATGTTCAAGGATGTTATGTATATCACCTTGATGAAATTATTATGTTCATAAAAATGGCCCTAATAGGCCATTGTAGATCATTTCCACCAATTATGTACTTGACCTTACAAACCTTACAAATTACCTTTCATAAAATGTTGATAAAAACATTTGATATTTGAGAATATAAGAAGCTATTTATATTTGAGCACTTTGCGTGAAGTCGTTTGTCACATTGCTTCTTTTAACAAGTTCAAACTTTTGTCGCACAAGAGGTTTGCATGGATATTACATGCAGACAATGGGCTTCAGTAAGGACTAACATTTTCTTATATTTAGGCTTTGGATTATGTATAACCATTATCTTTTGACTTACTTCCTTTCTTGCTGGGGCCTGGTCGTGTCGGGCTAACCAAGTCACTCACGCGCCTGTAGTCACTGTTTTCAGAAATGTTGCGTTTTCTTCGTTGTGGGCTGTTGGGGACTTTTGACTCTTCAGAAGGAGAGTGTGAACATTTTGGAAGAATGGGAGAATGTTCAGACTGGTTGTCTGTCTCACCTGAATGAAGAACATGACGATCAGGTTTTTATTGTAAAATATCAGCACCAAAAAAATAAATAGACACAGGTAATATAAACTGGTTGTTCAATAAAGAGTGGGATAAGTCTGATCACAAAATTTGTATTCAACATTTTTTGTAATTTGAGTAGGAAATTCAGCAATTTCATCCACTTTAACACAGGGAGATATGCTGAGTACTAAAATAGTACAAAATTAGTACTAAATTAGCACTCTGGCAAAAGCGCGCTCATGAGCACTCATGCCACGAGTACTAATTTAGTAATTGTTCATAATATGAGTACTCATTTAGTACTAAAACATCCACTTAGTCAGTGCTATTTTATCACTCATGATATGAGTACTCATTTAGTAAAAATGCAATAAATCAGAAATCATCATTAGTGCTTATTTAGTACGAATATTTGATTAAATGAGTACTCAATTAGCGCTAAAATGCCATGGGTACTATTTTAGTACTCAGCATATTCCCCTGTGTATTTTATGAAAACTAGGATATCCATTCTCCATTGGTAATAAATTGAACTTACATTTTGAGGGTGTGGTCTCTGCATCCTGACTGCAAGCTGATTCATTCTGGAAAATTATAAGAAGTTGATATTTAAAATGTCTGTTTATTTTGAACTATTTACTGATAAAAATCAAGGTAAGTTTTGTAACAAGGATACAAAAATGTCAATTTGACATCATTTGATTATATTATTTATGTCATGTAATATATCATATAAGCATGACCTTGACCACTGTGATGTAAGCATTATCTAACTAGTACTGTTATACATAAATCACCTAAGAGAAATAAGCCGATTCATTGTCATTACATAAACAATATTTATTATGCAAATTCAGCCGAGTTATCCACCTTTTCCCTATGTACATATTTCGTTATAACATTCACAATCAGGCACGTCAATAAAACCGCTAATAAAAGCTAATGTTTGTCAGATTCCAGCCGTCAGTATTTTAGAATTATACAAGCCAAAAGACGATCAAAATGAAAAATATTTGAATGCTAAAATATTTTTGACTTGGCACGGAGCCTTTAATATTAAAAGGGGCACAATGATTATTTATCTCTGAGAATTGTTTGAGCAAAATTTGACTTAATGAGCAAAATTACTTTGATACGTTTTAAATCATTACATATGCACAATTTTCTGAAAAAAATGATAGAAAGCATTTATAAAAGGGAAACATCTGAAAAATCTTTCAAGAAATTGTGGAAGTTAAAGAAATGAGGTCTTCCACCTCAAGTTACAGTCAATTAGACTACAGTACTAAATAAAGCTTTCTTACCTGAGATGTATTCTTCGATTCTTGGTTTTCCACTAACTCTGCATAACTACTTTGCAAAATTTTCTCTTTTAATTTCAATTTAAGTTGTTCAAGAGTCTCTTTTGTGAAAATATTGGTGCCTAGGGGTTCTGCAGTAGCTCCCTCTGTTGTAGAGTAGCTGCTTGTGAAGTGAGTCGGGTTTAGATTCAACTCGGACAATTTAATGTGTTCCTGAGGTAGTGGCTGTAACACTTTATGCAGGGTCTGAAAGGGAGAACATCAAATTTTTATTAATATCAATATTTTTAATATATTTAACTATATACTCATATAAAATTCAGTAAAACCAGTATGCCTGATCATCTCTCTAATCTGAATTTATTACCCAACAGTTACTTATAATAGTTTTCAATTTTTTTACATTTTAATGTCAGTATACATGTTCCTTACTCCAAATATTTGTAGGTTTACACAGCAACTTCTTTAGTATTTGATGTAACACTGTGTGATGCCTGAGTCCAATAGTGCAAAGTCCCCCCACCCACCACTTCTTCCCATGGGCCATAGGCTAAATGGTGTTATATAGTCCCATACTTGATAGAATAACAAGAGCAATGCAATGCCTCTAAAGTCCCCCCCCCCACCACCACTTCTTCCCATGGGACATAGGCTAAATAGTGATATATAATCCCATACTTGATAGAATAACAAGAGCAAAAGAGATCCAATTTTATTAATTAGTCTCCAGACGTCATCATTACAAGCAAAAAAAGTGTTGACACCATACCTCCATTTTTAATTTTTAAAGACAATTTTAAGACTCATAGTAACATTACATGGCATAAACCTAGTGTATGTACACTTAGCTTGGCCAAGCAATTCCTAGCTGTGTCTGCTGAGGGGTCCAAAGTGAGACATTGAAGGTATGCAAGACTTGTATGTACTTACCTTGGCCAAGCAATTCCTAGCTGTGTCTGCTGAGGGGTCCAAAGTGAGACATTGAAGGTATGCAAGACTTGCTTCCTGAAGTCGAAACATTTCTGATAAAGCTGTGGCTCTTCTGTAATACCCCTAAAAATATAATTTTATAGTCTAAATGATGAGATGCAATCAATGTTTAAATGCAATCATTTGTCTTAATAGAGCCTTTGCTATAACATTTCTGACAAAGCTGTAGCTCTTCTGTAATACCCCTAAAAATATAATTTTATAGTCTAAATGATGAGATACAATCAATGTTTAAATGCAATCATTTGTCTCAATAGGGGCTTTGCTATAACATTTCTGACAAAGCTGTAGCTCTTCTGTAATACCCCTAAAAATATAATTTTATCGTCTAAATGATGAGATGCAATCAATGTTTAAATGCAATCATTTGTCTTAATAGTGCCCTTGCTATAACATTTCTGAGAAAGCTGCATCTTCTGTAATAAAAAGAATTTGATGTAATCTTATAAATGTGACAAACCTGTAGCTTGTCTGTAATGCCCCAGTAAATTTTAAATATAATTTTATATATGTCTTAATGTTCAAGTACAATTACTTATCCTGATTTATGATTTTTATTCCAGTCTCATTTTCATGAATCAACTTCACCCAACAAATTAAAACCACAATGTTACAAATCACTTTCAAAATAATGACCTCATACATTAAGAATATTTTATACCTTTGGCCAATCAGGTTTCAGCGCTATTGCTTTATCCGCATCCGCTAATGCTTCTTTGAACATCCCCATGGAGATATAGGCATGTGCTCTGTTACTTGCCAGGACATGGTCATTTGGAGCTTAAACACAAAAGGTTAACAATAAATTAATTTAATATTACAGTGGCATTGTCAGTTCCAAAAATTTAGTATTTGGTATTATTTTTAAATTGGTATTTTAGATATCCCTGCATCAATAAATTAATCAAAACAATATTGTAGTTGCACCTGATAACTATGTACTAAGAAACAAAAAAAATTAAGATGCAACAAATTGATGGTTATTTATCAAAAATTTTAACAATTTTATTTTTTAACTAAAGATATGTTCTTCCTTCTGTCTATTTATATGTTTGCACAAGTGCCAATAGGGTAATGTCAAAAGATAAAAAACAGAGCAAGAAAATGAAAATTATACATCTAACAAATGCAGAATTTCATTCTGTGTTTTCAATTACCTTTCAATTTAACCATGGGCTTTCAACTAGATCTTATTGAAAGCCCATGATTTAACTCATTAACTAAGAAAAGCAAATCCCAAATATCAAAGTTTGCGATCTAACATGTAATGCTGGTGTAAAGAAAACAGAAATGTCTGCTACTCCCTTCCCCAAATTTAGGAACCATTATCAAAATTTAAGACCTATTCAAGATACATTAAAATTTGTAAATTGAACTGATGTATATGAACCAATCAGAATAGGTTTAAAAGCACACACCCATCTATTTTAACAATGGTTGGGGAAATTCGGGTATTCATTTTAACAGTTGGAATAAGATGATAAGGAAAATCATTGATAAGTGGAAAGAACCTCAATACGTTTGGTAATAGCATTGTATAAGTGTGCTGTTATGTACTAGGTCTAGGATGTACAGTGAGGATACCGAGGACAGAAACCTTATTTAACATGCTGTTACGTTCTATATTTTCCCTCCCCGATCTACTTTTTTAATGAGAAATGGCAAATATTTTTTAAAAATCTAATGAAAATTCTACTAAATTCATTAAGCAACATAGGGTTCTATTTTACAAACAACTATTTCATTTTCGGGTTTGAAATGCATTATGCGAGAAAAAAATATAATAACAATACAAATCGAGGCGTGCGTTTAAGTGTTGGAACAGCTTTACATAAGCAAATTGTTTAGCACATTGTACAGTCGCGTGTGATTCATTTTTGGTATTTCTGACTTCCACAAACATATTATACTAACCATGTTCTAAAGCTTGGGTGTAAATATCAGCAGCTTCTTTAAATTTCCTGGTCTTGATTGCACAATTAGCTTGTTCCTTTAGCCTTGATGCATTCATTTCAGTAGAAAATAATAAGTCTATCATCTTTGAAATAAGAATATTGTTTTTGATCGAACGTATATTCAAAAAATGATGTGTTTCGTCACACTTTTTGCACTGTTTTGATTGCCGTTTTTCCAAACATTTGCGACAAAATGTATGCCCACACGGTATGGTTAAGGGATTGACGAAGAATCCCATACAAAGGTGACAACGAAATAAATCCCTATCGACATCCTTTGCAGCTTGGGGCATGAGCTTATCATTCTTGCCCATCATGTCCACTAGAAATGATACCAGATGCTTCAACCGTTCAGGGGTTACACTCCCGAGACGCAATGCCTGTGTATAGGCTGTAAAAGCTTTGCTAAAGTCACCAGTTCCAGCTAAAGAGTCGGCTAAACCAAGGAAAACTTCAATGTTAGGTCCACGGTCTTTGATCGATCTTTCGTATATTTCGGCCGCTAAGTCATAGTTATGAGTGTTAAATGCTTCTTTGGCTAGATCCACCATTCTGAATTCACCATTAGAGACGGTTATGTTCCGAAAACAAACTCATTCGTGCTACAATGTCTTCTAAACGACATCAATATGCCTTTCACGTTAGAAAGTTATGAAATGACAGGTCACGTGACCTAAACAAAGACCTTGATTGGTTAGAACTGCGTGTTGTATAAATCTATTACAAAACCAAGATCTACGATGGCCCATATAATAGACGGCCATATCGGCTTTTATAATAATTTGTAATTGTTACAAAGATGCACTTCAAGCTAATACGATATTTTGTACAAGGATACAACAAATAGGTTGGTGTTGGGTCTTCATAGAGGAAATTGAAAACATGGGATCTCCAAGGCCCCCGAAATTAAAAGGCCTAAAATTATAGTAAGTTATATCTGCCGAGTTCATTCACCCCCGGCGTTCTCATACGAGCCCAATTCGACTAAAAATAGCATTCATAACCTTGATTATGTAGGCCAGAGACATATAATAAATGATATGCCTCTGTCATGATAAACCATGACATCTCAATTCTTCTCAGCCCTGAGATGCCATAACATAATGAAACCATGACATCTCAATTCTTCTCAGCCCTGAGCTGCCATAACATAATGAGAATGAGCTTGATTTGGCGGTCCAAGAGAGCCCAAAATTGAGGATTTAGTTTAGATCTTTCATCCCAGCTCATATTTCATCTAATTGGAGTCATAAAATTTGTGTACCCGTGCCTGATCTAATATCTGCTCTAAATGATATAAAGCCTATTATGTAATGTAGGTAAAATGATTACATGATAACTATCACACTTCAGTCATTGACACTTATAACTCTTCCCATCTGATGTGTTCAGATCACATAATATGCCTCAGAATACCAGAGCATTGGCCCTGCGTGCAGAGTCTAGTTAAACTACGAAGACGAAGCTCTCTTTTAAGAAGTGAAGTCAAACGAATGCAAAGGGTATATTTTAACAAAATATGGTGAAGACCAAGAAGGGTATGGTCCAAGACACTTGAAGCAAGCCATGATTAGGTGAATCACAATTTTTTGTCCGTACGTGCCCCTTATCTCACTAATACTTCTAGAGATGCATGATGAGAACATGGATACAATAATTAACTTGATCCCCACATTGGACAAATCTTTCGATCACATTCCGTTGTACACTGATTTATTGATTTGTTTTCCAAATCGAATAAGATTTAACCCCCCCCCCCACTCACCGTTTTTCTACCTAATACACAGTGAGTGGGGGATGAACTCTTGTTCCCGTGTCTGTGTCATTGCACAACTAAGACTCACGTGTCACATGCAAATCTTGAAAATCAAAATCGTTTTTAACGCCATTCAAAATCGTTTTGACGCCGTTATTGGCGTTAAAAGTAGATCTTTCCTACAGGGGTTCTAGTCTACAGTCACACAGGTAACGAACGTCTGTATTCATTTTGGTTGATACGCCACACAGTTTTCGCCGGGTTGCATGAAAATGGCGATTTTTAAAAGTTCTCTTATATCCCGGGTCTTATATAAATTGTGGATAATGATCGGCTTAAATCTTCTCGCCCACCTTTCCAGAAAAATCCAAAAGCAGTCAGGTCGAAGATTTAGAAAATTGGAATTATGACATCATGATAAAAGCAAATAAATATTCGAAACTTTCTTTCTATAAAGGCTTTTTATGATGCTATATTTTCATGTTGCAATATGTTTATACATGCATAGATGTACATGCATACATCTAATTGTTTATCTATTATTCGAAGGAATATAGTATTCCTTCTTGTGTAATCAGTAAACAAGGCAAGTTGCAAATAAAAAGCCATACTTGACATTGCCTTTTAGTACTGAAACATATTTTCAATACGCGGCATTGAATTGACACGCGGTACTAACTTCTACCGTTGATTTAAATTTTTGACCTACCAGATGTTTGAAAATCAAGGATTGCGAATCTCATTCTGCACCGTTTTTCTTCAAACTTATACCATTAAAAGCAAAACAAAATTGCCTTTCTGTCGGTGCATTACTTTATTGTAAAGAGTCCCTCGTTCTGGCAGCGTTTTGGTCCCCAGCTGTTAGAAGGCCTTCTTACAGCTGGGGACCAAAATGCCGCTGGAAGTAGTGACTCTGTTTAAAAGAATAATGTACCATCAGAAAGGGATTTTTGTTATGCTTTGAATGGAACAAGTTTGAAGATAAACGCTGCAGTATGAGACTCGTAATCCTTGATTTTCAAACATCCGGTAGGTCAAAAATTCAAATTAACGGTCGAAGTTAGGACCGCGTGATTGAGCAATTCCCGCTGAAGGTGATGAAGTAGTGCAACATTTGAAGATACGACCAAGAGCCGTGACTTCGACACCTTTCATTTTAAAAATAAGCCATGTACGATGTCACTTTTAAAAACTAGTTGGAGACAATATATTTTGAGGTTTCGAATCGGACTGATGGGCGATTTTCATGGAATAGAGGAGTTTCTAAATAGCTTTGAAATCTCGCTAATTCTAGTTTTTAATGAGATTTTAAGAGATTTGCACTTTTAACCTTTAATGACTTACCTTTCTTTGTGATAGCATATTGAATTCAGTGACAAGTTTTCTCCAATAGTAGCTTTGATTCCATGTTGATTCACACAGTTTTATGATTTAAATCATTTTCCATGATATCTTTAAAAAAACTTGGGCAAAAACTCCATTGGTGCAATGCTAAAATTCTTAAAACCTTGGTTTATTTGCATGACAACCAACATTTTCATGTTTAATCACAATATGTACATTTGCCAGGGTCAATAGTACATGTCATTCGAGTTTCAGACAGATTCAAGCAACACTTTTTGATAAATCATGAAATTAAGTGACTTAATTGACTTAATTGCAAGTTTCTAGCATTGAAGGGGATGGAGGTCTGGCCCAAGAAAAACTAAGACAAAAACAAGAGTGACATCTATTATGTCAGCATTATTCAGGTATTTAGATTTTGAAGGTAAAATCTCAAATTACAATATAAAGAAAACGGGAAACTCTTACTATACTGTTCGGTAGAAATCTGATCAATGAAACAGAGGTCTAATGAGTAATCTGGAAAGTAAAATTCCTCAATTCTCCAAAAGTTTGAAAGCAAGACTAGTTTTTGAGTCGATCAGGCTAGTTAACACACATCTCTTTGCTATGATTCGGATACTCATAGCATCTTTCTGTTTCACCTGAAACATATCTCAGCACAGACACGGGAACAAGAGTTCATCCCCCTCCCAGTCACTATGTATTAGGTAGAAAAAAGATTTTTTACATTAGCTATACAGTGACTGGGGGGGGGGGGATTTAAATCTTCCTGGGCCTGTGCATCTCAGGGCTGAGAAGAAATGAGATGTCATGGTTTATCATGATGCTTTGCTATTGCTAGTGAAGTCTCAGTACAGAGATGGTTTATTCTCTTGAATAGAAATACTGAGATAACACCTCAGATTACTTGGTGTTTTTCATTATTCTGCCAGAATTTCTTGATACTGAACAAGATACAAGTATTTGCCTCTTCATAATTATTTACAAATAGCAAAATGAGAAAATTGTGGGCATTTTTTTGTCTATCATTATAGAAGACATATATTGCAAACATTTAGTAGGGCCTCAAAAATGGGCCTTTTTGGGCATAACTTGGCCTTTGTTTTTAGGCCTTATTATCAAAAATGGGCCTTACATTTTCAAAATTTGGTTTTAGGCCCCCTCCACCTCCCCCTTGTCAACTTCTGAATCCGCATATTATTACATAAGCTTTGAAAGTAGAAAAAATCATTAACATAATAATCATAATTGTATTCATCATGTTTATTCTTAAGTTATCATATGATATAAGTAGTAGCATAATATGTAACATGTAATAGAATGAATAAAGTTATATTAAGCCTTTACATCAGAATGATTATCCAAGCATTTACGAGCTCTAAATAGATATGCAATAATCAGGTAATGACTAAATGAGTAACTTTTACGAAAAAATTCACAACAAGACAATAAATATCCGTTCGAGGCAGGAGCTCCAGACTGATCATTTATACTAATAAATAAATATTACGACATATTCACATTCTCCTTATAAGTCCCCTGCATTTGGAGAATGTGTCTAATCAATGTATTATAAAGTTCTTTCTTATACTAGTATTCTCAGCCAGGACCAGCCTACTGGTAAATTTTTCAAATTTCTTATGATGCACCCTTACTCAAAAAGGATTGGCTCCCAGAGTGCAACATCGATATTTTCGATCCTGGGAGCCAATCCTCCTTGCACCCTAACTGATGCTTTCACAAAAAACATTTTTTAATCCATTTAAATCAATGTTTTAACACACTAATCATAGTTCCATAGGAAAGCAATATTGTAACTTGTCCAAGAAGATGAAATAGCAACCCTCAGATCTTTAGCTATAAGCCTGTCAACTGGACAGACAAACTAAAAAATGAATTCACAAGATATCATTTTGAATTGGTGGAAAAAATTTAACTACGAATTTATTAATTCCAAATTCCAAAAATCCAAATTCTCTAAAAATTTTAAAATCATGACATCCAGTTTTTCACCAACTGAGCTTGCCACCCTGCACAAACTACATTTTACCACTATTGGTTTTATACACCCCATATACAGCGGGGCTTTGATCATAATTGTACAATGTATTGCAACTGTCAGAGTGTGATTCATTTACAGAAATGTCATTGATAGATTTAGTAGAACTGTCATTGTTAGATTCAGTAGAACTGTCATTGTTAGCTTTAGTAGAACTGTCATTGTTAGATTCAGTAGGACTGTCATTGTGAGCTTTAGTAGAACTGTCATTGTTAGATTCAGTAGGACTGTCATTGTTAGCTTTAGTAGAACTGTCATTGTTAACTTTAGTAGCAGAACTGTCATTTTTGGGAGGACTGTCACTGTCATTTTTAGGTTCCATACAATTGCCATTTTTAGTGGACCTATCAATTTCATATGTAACTGCACTAGCAAGTTCTCCATTAGCAGACTCTACAGTTGCAGGCTCTACAGATGTAGGTTGTACAGTTGCAGGTTCTAAAGTCGCAGGTTCTACAGCTGCAGATTTTATTGTAGTATATTCTACAGTTGCAGGCTCTACAGCTGCAAGTTGTAAAGTTGCAGGTTCTAAAGTTGCAGGTTCTACGGCTGCAGGTTCTACTATAGTATATTCTTCAGTTGCAGGTTCCAAGGTTGAAGGTTCTGCAGTTGTAGGTTCTAAGGTTGAATGTTCTACAGCTGCAGGTTCTACTGTCGTATGTTCTACAGTTGCAGGTTCAACAGCTACAGGTTTTGAAGTTGATGGTTCGACAGCTGCAGGTTCTACTGTAGTATATACTACAGGTGCAGATTCAACAGCTGCAGGTTCTAAAGTTACAGGTTCTACAGCTGCAGGTTCTACTGTTGTATATTCAACAGTTGCAGGTTCAACCGCTGCAGGTTCTGAAGTTGCAGGTTCAACAGCTGTAGGTTCTACTGTAGTATATTCTACAGTTGCAGGTTCAACAGCTGCAGGTTCTAAAGTTACAGATTCTACAGCTGCAGGTTCTACTGTTGTATATTCAACAGTTGCAGGTTCAACCGCTGCAGGTTCTGAAGTTGAAGGTTCAACAGCTGTAGGTTCTACTGTAGTATATTCTACAGTTGCAGGTTCAACAGCTGCAGGTTCTAAAGTTACAGGTTCTAGAGTAGTATGTTCTAAAGTTGCAGGTTCAACAGCTGAAGATTCTACAACAGGTTGTACAGTAGCAGTTGTAGGTCCCATAGAAGGAGGTTCCCCAGTAGCAGGATTTACAGTTCCAGATTCTTCGGATGTAGGTTCACTGGTTATAAAAGCAAATGTATCACCCATAATACCAAACACTGATTTTGATGAACTATTTGATGTGGATCTAGAACCAACACTGCTCCTTGATTTAGTTCCACTTTTAATGAGTTTAGAGTTTGCAGGGCTCCGAGTCGTCTGTTTTTTAGATGGAGAGGCATCCTCGTCTACGCACCAACCGATTTTCTTCATGTGAATGTCCCTGATGTGTCTCCCCATTGAAGAAGCTCGGCCAAATGGTCTCTTGCATATATGACATGTGTGCGGTTGCTCTTTGGTATGTGTACGACTATGTAGCTTCAAGTAATGGGCTTTTGTAAATAATTTTGGACAAATTGGGCAAGGAAATCGCTTCTCATTTAAATGTTGTTCTCTAGTGTGTTCTTTCAATCGGCTCTTTGATGCAAAGAATGTTTCACACTCATCACATTTGAACTGTTTTTTGTCGGGATAGTGCACAAGAATGACATGTCTCTTGAGATCACTTAGGCGGCGGAATCGTTTCTGGCAAACCATACAGGGATGGGGTGCCTCCCCTGTATGAATCATATGATGAGTTTTCAAAGATTTTTTAGCAGTAAATTCCTTCGAACAAATTTCACATTTGAACTTTCCTTCGTTTTCTCCAGTATGGAGCTTAATGTGATCTTTGAGATTGGTCTTGAATGAAAAACATTTTTCACATATTGGACAACTATATGGTTTTTCATTAGTATGGACAACCCGATGATTGTCTAATTGAGATTTTTGATGAAATGCTTTCGAACATCCATCACACTGGTATGGTGTTTCGTTGTTATGGTAACGTAGGTGGATCACAAGTGAGTGTTTGTAAGTGAACGTTTTATCACATTCTGGGAAAGTACAACAGAAATCTTTCACACCAGTGTGAATCTTTAAGTGACTTGTCAGGTTAGACTTCCTGTTGAAACTCTTATCGCAATGTTCACATTTAAATGGTTTCTCCCCAGTGTGAATTATTTCATGCTTTTCAAGTCTATTCAAACTGTTAAATGTTTTGTCGCAAAATTTACACTCATGAGCTACATGGGTTTTATTGTGTTTTTCATATGAACGAAAATCATGAAATATTTCTTGGCAGTTGATACAAGAAAATGTTTCTCCCTTATGTTTTTTCCTGTGATGTAGGGTTAGGCTAAAGGCCTTGAAGAATGAAGCTTCGCAAAGTGTACAGCGAAACTGCTTCACACCAGTGTGTGTCATTTCATGTTCCTCAAGACGGTACTTTCTATTGAATGCCTTGGGGCAAATTGAACATTTGAATTTCTTTGTTTCTGTTACCACGGGAACAGCCTCATCCTCATCAGCTGCTGGAAGTAAAAGAAGGTGTCTCTTTAATACAATTCATTTCTGGTTCATTCATGGACAACATAGATTAGCTCCCATTATCTGGGATTTATGGACTACAATGGGAAAGCATCAACAATACACTCTAGTAGCTTCTGCCTGCCATCTATTTTATCTTATTAAGTAAAATTATTTGTCATAACCAAATAGATTTAATTGATTAATTGAAATACTTTCTTTACACTTGATGTTATAATTACCTAGTTTCCTAAAATTCCTTCGTTTTAACTTTCTTAAATTTTTTCCACCTTTTTCTAAACTTGTCGAGTCCATAGTTAATAGATTATATTCACACCCCACTGTCTCTGGTTCATTATCAATTGTGACATCACACTGGTCGTCATTGTCAACCTGCTCTTGTTTTATATGTACTAAGCAGGTACAGCCAGGTGCATCAGGGTTAGCTGAAAGGCAGAATACAAGGATAAACAAAGCATTAACATGCAAAATGTCAATACCTGCCATTTGTTACAGACCCAAAACACCAACACCATCCACAAAAACAATATGTCACCACTTGTGATGGTGGTGACATAAAAATGAAAACAGAGTAGTAGTACTACTACATAATTATTTTTCAACTGAGTAAGCTAGAGTAAGCTAGTTCAGAGGGAAGATAAGGTAAATGACTAACGGGGGGGGGGGGTGGGGTCACAAGACGTCTCCTAAAGGAGACAATGAGGCTCAGCAGATGTGATTAACTGTGGCATCACAGGGCCTCAACAAAACCGATCAACCATTACATTATATGTGGTAATATTATTTACAAATCAAATACATTTTGTACAGAACATACATATTCTATGTACTCTTTAAGACCATGTATTAACATCCTAGTATACAGATCTTTCAGTTTCAGGTTTTCAAATGTCATTATGAGCTATCTTTAATACCTTACACCATGTGTCTTATAAAGAGAATATCCTGCACGAGGCAATCACAAGTAGTCTAAACAGTATTACCTTTCATTAGAATAGGTCCATGTGTGGTAGCATTGCATTCTTCCATCACATATACTGTTAGATTATCATCATCCACCTGTTCATTACTCAAGTTGTTTTCTTGTACGATTTTAGCTTTTTTCAGGTCCTCATCCTGAGTTTTTCTTTTTTTGGTCTTCCTTTTATGTGCTCCCTTGGAATTAGCTTTTTGGCCCTTTTGTGGATTTACTGTAATTATTGGAACATCAACAAGTCTTTTATTTCTCTTGGGGCGAAGTGATTCATAGCGATTGCCGACTTCATTTACATCCTTTGTGGTGCTTGGAGCATCAGTAAGTGCTCTAATATTCGCTCCTTTCACAACATTGGCTGGATCTAATGTTTGTTCTTTTTCTGTTATGTCTGAATCAGATGGTTCTTCAATAGTCGGTTCACCTGACAGTGTTTGCTCTGGGACTTGTTTTAAGTTAGTAAATTCAATTACAGTCTGTGCATTGGTTACATGTACATCTTCTGATTGAGAAGAGTCAGAATAAGTTACTTGTATAGTTTGCATTTCCAAAGATTCTACTGCACTAGGATTTATTTCAGTTATTTGTGACATCATTGGAGATCCGGTCTAATTATAGTATAGTAACAGACATATATATTACAGGTTGGCTACAGTATTGCACCAGGACTGCAGTCTAATCAGTCGACTGATAGCTTGATAGTGGATGTCTGTGTCCTTTTTGCTGCTTTCATGTCGTTTGTTAAATGGATGGCATGCCTACTCTCTGATGCAAACACATACTTTGTACTGCCGTGTTGATTACTGCAAGTTCTCTGGATAAAGTATCTGAAAAATTCATACCCTAATGGGATAAGTATTTTTGTTGTTGTGCTGTTGTTTTCAAATAGTGTCATTATTGGTGAAAAGCTAAATCTACATCTATGATTTGCAAGAGGCAATAGGCCCAATTGAAATAAATGAAAATAAATATCATATCAATCATATTACGGGCGATAATACGTGAGACTGGAAATTTAATAATTTAAAACTACATTTTGAATATATCCATCAAATCTCACAAAATAAAATATACAAATCACAAAAGAATATGTATTCACATTAATGAAAATGCACACAATACCATGATCAATTAAGTCTATACTTACAAAATTCTCAAGTAAAGTTATGATTACATTATTTCTTTCTTGATTGGACCATGACACGCCAAATATGACTTGTTGAAACTCGAGGTGCAATGCCATCTTTATATAGGCCTAGAATCAATTTTATTAATTATGTGAAACAAAGAGTAGTAGGAATTATTGCTAAAAAATCCATGGACAACGAGGATTTCATTGTCCTTTATATTTACAATAAGTCATGATGTATAATTTCACTATTCAGATAGAGAAAGAAACACAAAACAACATACCGTTGATTTATCATTTTTCAGTGTAGCCCAGGCCGGGGGGGGGGGCTGATCCCAGAGATGCTGGCAGAGATGGCCTTTGGTATTGGCAGTTGGTCGTTCGATAACCAATTTTATGAACAGTCACCATTTGCCATTCAAATAGATTCCAGAATGTTCGCTGTTGTTTTATGAGTCTCTTCAAGTTTGGCTCAAATAACTTCAACGAGAGAACAATCAGAGAACAAACCGTGGGGCGCCAGCCATTGACCGAGCCATTGACATTCTGAGTCCGTATTCCTACACTATCGTGAATCATGGGCTTTCAAGAGAGCCTGTGTCTGAATTAAGGAAGGGGTGTGTCAAATAGTCTATACTTAAAAATGACAAAGCGATTTTACAGACCGAAAATGTCACTGTTGTTTTCGTGACTGTGGTTTAGCTAGCCGATATTTAGGGAAGCTATTATTGTCCAGATAATGTCGTTCGTTCCTCATTGAAATTGGTGTTTGGAGAAATAAACATTAGCCCCACTTGTCATATTTAAGAAATACGTCAAGGCGATTTTGATTACTATAAAGGAGTGGTATCGATATGGTGAACTTTTTGAACACGCGCTTCTCTTAAACCAGTCATCAAAACATTCTGAAAATTTTACACATCGTCAATTTAATGGTCATCTTTTGGATGGTAACATTATAATTTGAAACATATACAAGGGGCGATCCATATATTCTGATAAAAATTTGAAATATATATCCTTTTCTCTATATTGTTTTAGAAAACACATCAGACACTCCTTTTGTTCTTGATATCATATGTTCGGAATGAAACATCTATCCGAACCTCATTGGAACAAAACGACACACAATTGTGTTCAGGTCTCTCAATATTGTAATTATACAAAGGAAAGTTTGGTTGATTTTAAAGAAGTATCTTGTTAATGAAATAAAATGTTTATCTTAATTTTTATCTATTTTAGGGGTTTTGTTTTAAGTTTTTGCATAGATTTTGTAAAATCAACCAAACTTTCCTTAGTGTAATATTGAGGAAAACACTTATACAAAATTTTAAAAATATATATATACAAGTTGTATATAATTTTTGCATTAAATTGTTACCAATCAGTCAACATTACATAAAGGACAGTGTTTTTTACAGAATGTTTTCAATAATTGGATTTAGAGAAAAACATTGTTGAATTCCGTTCACCATGTCGATACCTATCCTTTACGTGTATGGATAGAGGCGTCAACTTCGTCCGATTAAAAAGTAAAATACGTGATTCTTGGTTTCTCACTTGCCGAAAGACATTTTCATTCTGGTAAAAACGGAATCAAAAAACACAATAGTACACTCTATGCAGACAGAGCCTGTGGGAAATATTGGGTGCGGAGCAAATGAGCGGAGGGTGCGGAGCTAACGGTCATTTTTGAATTTAAATTTGGGATATTTCTGAAACTAAGCCGTTTTGGGACTTCAAATATACCAAGATATGTGTATTTGACACCAAATATCAATACAATTGTGAAAATAGTAGCGCAATGTGCCTTAAACCTTTCCCAGACCTATATATTTTGAAATTATCCTTTTAATACTGAGTCCGCAGCATTCATAAAAAATGGTGTTCAAGGTACACTATCTATACAAATTATTTTTGCATCTTGGAAGCCAGACAGTATCTGTGTGATTTTATAAAAATTCGGAAATGTTTTTCAGATATGAGCCCCCTCTAAATATTGGGTGCGGAGGAGCTCCATAAACGAACCCACTCTGTTATACTAATTTCGTATATATATACTGTTTATACATACATGTATTATACTTCTAAGACAACTTCTCTTTTTCAGGGGAAATAAAAACATTTAAATGCTAGATTATTAAAAAAAAGTTAGGATACAACGAACTGTATATAGCGTAGGTGCTTTAAATCATATATTTTATTTTTTTAAATTATATAATTCAACTGATCTGCTCCGGTTACGTTCCCAGCTCCGGTTACGTTCCTAAGTAATATTTTTAAAACTTTTTTTTTAATTAACCAAATCAGAGTCGTGTGAATCAGAAATAACAGAATTATTCAATAGTATAAGGACTATTCTGTACTTTTTTCAAAAGTCTATACTTAAATGTTGTAAAAAGTTATAATCGAAAAACCATCTTTCGGAGTAAAGTCCGACTGCGCCGATTTCAATAACTTCGTACTTGATCAGAACTGGATTCCAACAGAATTCCTACAAACTCATGAATGAAATAGTTATTGCATGGAATACTTATTTTTGTCAAAATCAAAATAGAACTCTAGTTAAAAAATATATTGTGCTAAATTATTGCCATTTCTTAGTAAAATGTCGTTCTCCGGTACGTTGCCAAAATTATTCGATGGTACCCCGTGTATCTGTACTTGCAGAGTAAAATAGGAAAATATCATTTCATTACATTACTAAAATAAGGTGATTGGCGCTCATCATTAAAAATGAATGCCTTCCAAAATGCTGTGTTGAACAGTCAGTGTCCTTCTTTTTTGCATCACAGAATGAATAAAATCCATCACTCATACGCCATGATTCATATTTGGTTCTAATGCAACAATTTTAGCTCGGGCCATGAACTTCAGTTTGCACCAGTAAAAGTCATACTCATTCTTCAGATAATTTTCGAGATATGGATGATTTTTGAAACTGGAATATAGTGATAGTGGAATATATTTTGAGACTTCAGAGTGGAATTTTACATCGTTTTCGCATTTACGAATCTTAACATAAGGTATGACGCATACCAATCATCATTTGACAAGCTGTTTTAAATCACAACAAAAAAATCTACGTAATATATCATCATCCGTAACTTTGTCATGTTTTTCCAGGTAATGTTTGATTTTTCACTTGTGAGAAACCAATTTTATTCGGGTATGATATGGAGAACTGAATTCAACAATGTTTTTCTCTTAAACCAATCATTAAAAACATTCTGTAAACAAACACGGTATTTTATGTAATGATTGACAACAATTTAATGCGAAAATTATTTAGAAACATTTTATATAACTGTTTTTGTTAACATTTTTTGTTTTTCTAGTGCAATTGTTTTTGCTCCTTTGTACCAATTAGTTAAATGAGCTAAAGTTTCTCTTAAAACATCAGTAAATATTGATAATATTTGTTCTTGGAGTAAATTAGTAATTAATTATTGGTCCGAGGCTTACTTGCGCCTATGAGTTGCTTTGTTTATTTGATATCAATAGTTCGATACAATAGAAATGTAAGAGATTGCTAGATTGGGTCAGGTGGCAAATGTATGTGTTGTTTAAACTGTATCGTGTTTAGAAGATTTGATAAGACCATTCAAATGCAATATGTTTAACATCCTGTTGTCCCAGGGTCAAAGGAGTGGTATCGATATGGAGAACTGAATTCAACAATGTTTTTCTCTTAAACCAATCATTGAAAACATTCTGTAAAAAACACGGTATTTTATGTAATGTTGACTGATTGACAACAATTAAATGCGAAAATGATTTAGAAATATTATATAACTGTTTTTGTTAACACTTTTTGTTTTTTTAGTGCAATTGTATTTGCTCCTTTCTACCAATTCTTGAGAATGAAATAAAATGTCTTTCTGAACCTTGTTGGAACAAAATAGCATATACAACATGTTCTTAAACCTCTCAATATTATAGTTATACAAAGGAATTTTTGGTTGATTTTAAAAAAGTATTCCAAAAAATCAAAACAAAATCCCCCAAAATAGATAAAAAATCATGATAAACCTGCAATTGTATTTGCTCCTTTCTACCAATTCTTGAGAATGAAATAAAATGTCTTTCTGAACCTTGTTGGAACAAAATAGCATATACAACATGTTCTTAAACCTCTCAATATTATAGTTATACAAAGGAATTTTTGGTTGATTTTAAAAAAGTATTCCAAAAAATCAAAACAAAATCCCCCAAAATAGATAAAAAATCATGATAAACCTTTTATTTCATTAACAAGATACTTTTAAAATCAACCAAAATTTCCTTTGTACAATTACAATATTGAGAGACCTATAAACATGTTGTGTTTATGTCGTTTTGTTCCAATGAGGTTCGGAAATATGTTTCATTTCACTCTGGAAACACGATACCAAGAACAAAACAAGTGTTCGATGTGTTTTCTAAAACAATATTGATGAAAGTATATATTTATTTTTCAAATCATATTGTTACCATTCAAAAGATGAACATTAAATTGACGATGTGTTAAATTTTTAGATTTTCTTTATGACTGGTTTAAGAGAAACGTGTGTTCAAAAAGTTCTCCATATCGATACCACTCCTTTCCGGTCCATATAAAAACACCTACATTTATTTCAACTTGATGAAAGACATTAAAAATACACGTAGTTTTCGATCCAGCAACGTGTTAAAATCTTGGTTTAAATCAGGGTAAAAAAGGTGAGATGTTGCAAGAGAAGCTCAGAATAATGATAATTTTTAACACTCTCAAAATTAATATTTTTGTTTGTTTTTCGGAATCCTTTAAAACTATGAAATTGTTATTTGATCATATTTGTTAGTGATGTTTTTCAGAGAGTTTTCGGACGTGTAGTTTTTTATGCGTCCTCAAACTTCCAGGTGCAGAAAACCCCTGATTACACACGCCACACTTATACGGCCTTTCACCAGTGTGGATGTTTGTGTGATACTGTAGATTACATTTCTTAGTGAATGTCTTCAGGCAGGTATGACATTTGTAGTTCCTCGGCTGGCTGTTTTTGAGATTTCTGGCGTGTACGTGGTTTGGAATTCTCACGAAGTGTTCCTGCGTCCCCATTGTCTGCGCCAATCCAGTCTCCATGTTTTGGTACGGCATTGTCTCCAAAGGATACACACCAGGATATACTGCAACATATTCGTATTAAATTAATATTTCAATCGTGGGATTTAGGTTCAGGACTTAACAATATTTATACATCGAGCCAGGGATATGGGATAACAAATTCTACACAACGCATAGGCGTAGCCAGGGGGGGGGGGGTGGTGCGATGAGTGCGATCTCCGCATCTTCCAAATGTAGGGGTCTAGATATCATCCACTGTTACTGGGAAGAATGAGGGAAGTGGATTGTGTCTGGACCCCTGTGTTCGGAGGATCATGTGTCATTTACTCTTCTGCAACTATCTTAAATAAAAAATCACAAATGAATGATTTCACTTCATGATTTTAAAATTGAAACAATAGTTTCTTTGTAAAGTTGCTCGCTTTACCTGGTTCTAACATTATATAACCTGAATTTGGCTGGGGGGAGTTGAAAAATAATAGTACAAGAAATAATCTGTGTAATACTATATGTATAAAATGTATTATATATTTAAAGTAAAATGAATGAAACGCATTGAACAAGAGGCAAAATACATGCATCATGGTATTGTTTAGTTTAGGAATAAAGACCGAGATTATATGATCTATGGCGTGATGCGACGCGTATATGACTGAAAAATTTATTCTGTTCATTGTTAACCGAAATCGCGTAGCGATTGAGGTCTTTGGCAATGGCCAGAATATAATTTGAGGTCATATATTTGACATAAATCATAAAATCGTGGTCTTTGTTACGAATCTTAGCGGTCATACAAGTTTTTGGTAAAAAATGTGTCTAATCAAAACAATTTTCATATAATCTTCATTTACAACAATTTCAAAAATACTAACTTAAATCCTCATTTGTCATTGATGAACATATTAATCAAGTAATCTGGTAATTATACAAAAAATAATAAAATCAGTAACAATTTACTCTAACTATACGCAGTTCCTAATTTGCTTATACAAAGGAATTCCTATAAATAACATGTAATTCTACTGTTCTAGGTCCAATCCACATTGATTATATATAAAATACTTATCATCAATTTATAAACAGCAAAAATATTACATGTTTATATGCAGAATATTACATGTTTATTTGCAGAATATTACATGTTTATATGCAGAATATTACATGTTTATTTGCAGAATATTACATGTTTATATGCAGAATATTACATGTCTATTTGCAGAATATTACATGTTTATATGCAGAATATTACATGTTTATTTGCAGAATATTACATGTTTATTTGCAGAATATTATATGTTTATTTGCAGAATATTACATGTTTATTTGCAGAGTATTACATGTTTATATGCAGAATATTACATGTTTATTTGCAGAATATAACATGTTTATTTGCAGAATATTACATGTTTATTTGCAGAGTATTACATGTTTATATGCAGAATATTACATGTTTATTTGCAGAATATTACATGTTTATATGCAGAATATTACATGTTTATATGCAGGATATTACATGTTTATTTGCAGAATATTACATGTTTATATGCAGGATGTTTATTTGCAGAATATTACATGTTTATTTGCAGGATATTACATGTTTATTTGCAGAATATTACATGTTTATTTGCAGAATATTACATGTTTATATGCAGGATATTACATGTTTCTTTACTGTTTTTATGTTACCAGAATTCTGGGTTATCCCCTATTGTATGTTCCACTTACAGAGATTCATTTACATTAAGTTGATGGATTATGGTAGTTACAATTATGGAGGTGCTCCACTATAAGAGGTGTTCTTAAAAATGTTACAATTATGGAGGTGCTCCACTATAAGAGGTGTTCTTAAAAATGTTACAATTATGGAGGTGTTCCACTTTAAGATGTGTTCTTAAAAATGTTACAATTATGGAGGTGTTCCACTATAAGAGGTGTTCTTAAAATGTTACAATTATGGAGGTGTTCCACTTTAAGGGGTGTTCTTAAAATGTTACAATTATGGAGGTGTTCCACTTTAAGAGTTGTTCCACTTAACAAGTTTACTGTACTTAATATATATAATTATATATTATATAATATTCTACTGGTGGTGTATGCGATTCGGAAAATAAATGAAACATCACAAATCAATATTAAATCAATCAATTTTTCTATACCTCATACCCTGTGTGGTAGTATTAATATCAACAATACAGTACTACTATGCAGGATATGAGGTATAGCAAAATAAAGGAATATTAAACATGTATAATTCCAATGCACATGTGCTATTAAGTTTATAAAATCGACACTTAACTCAAAAACATGCTTGCTTTAAAGAAACAAGCAAGCTACCAACGAGAGTTATCCAAGTTCATTTTTTGATGGGTTTTCTTATGTGTCCTTAAACTTGCTGGTGCTGAAAATCCCCGATCGCACACTGGGCATTTGTATGGTCTCTCGCCAGTGTGGATATTTGTGTGATAATCCAAATGACATTTCTTAGTGAATGTCTTCAAGCATGTATGGCATTTGTAGTTTCTGGGCTGATTGTGTTTGGGACTTCTTGGCTTCCTTTGGGATGGGTATTGTATTTGCTGACCATATGTTTCTGTCGGCAGCATGGATGTCCCGGCTTTCACCAGTTGGTGATAAAGTATCGAATCCGAGGGATAAACTGCAATATAAATAACAAATTATTCAAAGCATTTTTTGAGAAAATATTAACCCACATAAGAATTACAATTTTTCAGTTAGTATTTCAGTGAGGTAATTAAAATCATTGATTCAATAATATGTATGCCAAAATGTTATCTCTCAGTCTCTCCAGTGTGGGTGGATTTCATGTAACAAAACGTTACACAACAGTTCTATCCCATGTATTGAAGTAACATAATATCACAAATGGCATCTTATGTTATTTAAGAAACAGAAAAAGCATAATATGACCACCGATGCAGAATTCTGAATGTTGATCATAAAAATCCCTTGTTTGTTTTCCTTGTACCCTTGTATGATTTGGGTTTTTGCCAGGACGCAAAACAAAGAATCTACTTCTTATGGCCTAAGCACAAATGGATTGTTTTGGATACTATTCCATTATAAATATTAATGTTTGTGGCATTATCATGACATTAAACTTCAGAAAGAAAAGCTTGGAATGTTCCACTGATCTATATACCATCACACTCATAAGATGCATGCTACTTGCATCCCATAATGCACTACTGGTAACAATGCCCTCTATATCCTGTTTGAAAAACATGGCATGCTGAGATCTGTTGTCTCTAAAATCCTCACATCGATAATCTAATTTATATTTTTGGATCTGGATGATGAATTCTGTTATGAGAACTCAGACTAGCTGGTGCAGCGAATCCCTGTCTGCACTGCAGGCATTTATACGGCCTTTCTCCAGTATGTATGTTTGTGTGATACTGCAGGCTGCATTTCTTAGTAAAGGTCTTCAGGCATGCTTTGCATTCATACATCTTCTTGGGCTTCTTTTTTACGGGGGTTTTCGGATGTGAGTAGGTTTCGCGATGGTCCTGGTTGAAAAGCTGACATTGACGCTGTGTTGATCCCATTGATGTCATGGACATAGCAGCCTCCATTTGGTACTGGTAAGATTTCGTAACTATTGGATACACACCGGGATCCACTGCAACATATTATCAAAACAATATTTTAGTGAATATAGTTCATGACCCAACATGGCACATGGATATCTACCTTAAGATTTTCCTAAATAATAGGACTACATAGAGGCAGGGGGTGATAACCAAAAAATAATCTTGGAACTAATCTGCAGTATCTTAAAATGTACACAGTACTATACATTGAAACCTGCACAGCCAGTATGTCTCACCAGTATGTACAATGGGAAAGTTTTCCCAGTGTGTATCTCATATAACACAATATTGAAATTCTGCTAGTATTTATATGTATTTATATGTTACCCGAGAGAAAGTCTCACCAGTATATAATTCACATGATGCAGACAATTGCCAGTATGTTCAACCAGTATCACATGATACAATACAAGAAAATACCTCTAGTGTGTACCCCATGCAATACAATAAGGACATTTCACCAGTGAGTATTTCACATGTTGCAGAATCAGAATCTTACTAATATATATTCCGTGTGATAATTGCACACTTTAGTAGAGTGTATAGCATGCATGTATGTTCTTCATATTATGCAGTATTTAATTTTGCCAGTTTGTATTCCTTGTGCATGATACAAATGTACAATCTCACAAGTGTGTATTATGTATTACAAAGTTGATTTTTCTACGAGTGTGAGTATTTCATCTGATACAATTGCACAGTTTAGCAGAGATGACATGCATGTATTTTCTTCACATAATATGGTGGTTAAATCTTGCCAGTATGTATTCCATGTCATACAGCTGTACCAACTCACCAGTATGTATCCTGTGTTGCACAGTAGAATATTCTACGAGTGTGAGTATGACATCTGATACAATTGTATGCACACTTTAGCAAAGTGTATAGCATGCATGTACTTCACATTGTATATTGATTAAATTTTGCCAGTATGTATTCCATGACATACAGCTGTACCATCTCACCAGTATGTACTCTATATTACAAAGTAGAATATTCTACGAGTGTCATTGCATGATACATTTTCAGAATTTGCCCATAGGTGTCTAGCGGCATGATTTATAGTGTATTTAATATAAGACACTATTATGGAATAAATTGAACTGAAAATTAAATTGAATAAGTGTAATACACTTCATAAGGGAGATGTACTGGGAGGTTTGAGAAAGGGTATTTATCCCGAGGAGATATTTCAGAGGGATAAGATGAACTTACATAATGGATCTATTAGAAACCTGAACCCCTGTGTATCCCATGTTTTTATTACATAATCTCTCTGGTGTATATAGTATAAGTGGATTGTCAACTATAAAAGCAAAATCAGGCTCTGGGTTAAACTGATTGAAAATACTTGTAAAACATTTTTTTCATTGTATTGTGTTTTATTTCAATTTGTAACAAATACCATACATCAAACAAATTAAAACATTTCAAAACAATGTGTATGCATATTAATTTTGCTATCAATTAATGTAAAGCATTATGGTGATTCTTCATGTGCTGAGATAGGCCTGCTGGTGAAGGGAATCCTTGGTTACATATGGAACATACATATGGCTTGTGGCCGGTGTGGGTATTCATATGATACCCTAAATGGCATTTCTGCATAAATGTCTTTAAACAAATTGTACATTTCCACTTTCTTGGAGCTTTCAAATCTGCTTTGAAGTTTCCAGGTTGAAACTGAGATTTTTCTCTGGTATGTGTTGCATGTGTTTTTCCAGTGTGGATGCTCTTAGTTGTACCGCCAGTATGTAGTTTTATTAAACCATGGTTAGTGGAGTCCCAATGTGGAAGTTGATCATTCCATCCTGCAACAAATAGTGTACTTATTAATGTCCAAATCTTCATTCTTCAGGTTTTTTAACTTTAAATACAGAATCATTTATTTTTCTCCCTAACTTTCTTGCAACTACTAATCTAGTAATTTGATTCCGATGCTTTTGATTGGCTCTTTATCAGTTTATTTGGCCAGAAAAAGATAAAGTGTTTTGTATTTTATTTAGGGGGTTTTATCATTCATTCAGAAGTGTTGAAAAATACAAGTAAAAACAAAAGATATTTCCATAATCGCATTCCATAATCTCAATATGGCCTCGTTGATTGTAATAAATGGTAGAATTAGGAGATCATCTAACAAACTAGTGGGCATATTAACTCATTAAACAATTATAGGTAATCTATTGTGACAGTACTGATATTGCAGAATGCATGTTAGAGATATTTCATGATTATGGGCTACAGGCCATGTGAAAACATCAAAAAGTATTAAAATAGCATGTATTATATATCATATCAAGTCAGAATACAATCTGTTTGTATTCCACAAAATAAAAGTGCAAAATCTCTCCAGTATGAATTCTATGCAATGGTGTGGCAAACTTAGGAGTCAGTCCCCAGTATGGATTCCATGTGGTAAAGTAAAATGTGATCACCTTTTTAGTATAAACACTTTTTCAGTTTCATCAATGTCAGAAAATATTGAAAACTTTTGAGTGGTCCCTGTGGCATTTAGATTAGACAGGTTTTACTGTATTTTGTCAATTGCCAACTATAAGAGGATTATATGCTAATTAGATGAATCTGAATCTGAGACATAATGTAGTTTCCCCGATTGAAAATATAACATTGTGTAACATGTACATGTATGTTCATTATTTTGCTGGTCCATTATTGCAACTAATGCAAAGCATTATGGTGGTTCTTCATGTGTTGAGAGAGGCCTGCTGGTGAAGGGAATCCTTGGTTACATATGGAACATACATATGGCCTGTGCCCTGTGTGGGTATTCATATGATAGCCAAGATGGTTCCTCTGTATGAATCTCTTAAGGCATATTGTACATTGCCATTTTCTTTTATATTTTGAGTCAGGTTTGCCATTTCCAGTCTGAAACTGTGGTGATTCTCTAGTTTGAAACTGTGGTGATTCTCCAGTTTGAAATTGTGGTGATTCTCCAGTTTGAAATTGTGGTGATTCTCCAATTTGAAATTGTGGTGATTCTCCAGTTTGAAACTGTGGTGTTTTTCCTGTTTGAAACTGTGAGGATTCTCCAATTTGTCCCCTCATAGGGCCTCCATGTGTCTCCCAGTTATGAACACTCGTCATTGTCTCACTAGTATGTACACCATCACCTTGACTTGGACTGTGGATGATAATCCCCCATTGTGGATGGGGATTGTTGCCAACTGAAACAGATAGTGTTTGTGATTAATAAAAGCATGATTTCTTTAGTTTAAGTTGGTAGAACAATTGGTGGTTCATTTGGTCATCAAAAAACCTTCATGGCCAAACTTTTTTCTAATAATTTAGATGATTTTGAATATTTTCCTTCATTTGGACATGTCCCCTTTAGATATAGATCAAAATAAAACTCATGGTCACTGAGTCTTTTTCTCAAAAACTAATCCAACAAAACAAACTGGGATTTCAAAGGAACCTATTTAAAATGATATAATCTTCATCATTTCCACACCAGCCCTTAGCCATTATTTCATTCTGTATTTTCATTAACCTATGGAATATTGAGGCGTTCAAATTCTGGGTATAGCTGAGTCCAGCTGTGGGTTTTAAAGGCTTGGTGCTGTATAAACAATGACAAATAATATTGAAAATGGAAAGGTGCAGTTAATTTCTTGATCACCAGGGTAACAATCTCACACTTTGTATCACATATAATCAGCAACTACATTGTAATGCTTAATCTGACATGACCTTGGATGGCGAATCAATATTTATATGACTATTTAACTGAACAACCAATTTTCGAAAAAGAAATTTTATTTCAATTGTTGAAACAATGTCTTATAGAGCATAATATCTTTTTATTTATATGGAATGGGGCACAGCCCTCTTTATTCATCATACATCTTTGTAATGAACAGGTTTCTCCTTATTGAGTTGATGTCTCATTTTACCTTATAAGGTATCTCCTTACTGTGCAAATATGTCATTAATATGGCCTAATATGGGCATATGATCCTATGCATTTCTCAATAATGATTTGCACTTGGTGAACATTCTTTTATGGAGTGGTAACTTGAGTGGATGTCCAAATGTTTGTAGGCATTTCATTTAAGGAGTTTATTTCTTGTGTGCAAATGTCATTAATATCGCCTTTTATGGGGATATGTCTCCCTATTGGGCCTCTGGTCCAATGTGATCATCAGCATGTGTTTGCACTTGGTGAAATGTTCTCTTATGGACTGATAACTTGTGTGGATGTCCAAATGCTTGTGGGCACATGTTGCATTCATGGGGTTTATTTCCAGTGTGCAAATGTCATTAATATGGCCTTATATGGGGATATGTCTCCCTATTAGGCCTCTGGTCCAATGTGATCATCATCATGTGTTTGCACTTGGTGAAATGTTCTCTTATGGACTGATAACTTGTGTGGATGTCCAAATGCTTGGGGGCACATGTTGCATTCATGGGGTTTATTTCCAGTGTGCAAATGTCATTAATATGGCCTTATATGGGGATATGTCTCCCTATTGGGCCTCTGGTCCAATGTGATCATCAGCATGTGTTTGCACTTGGTGGAACATTCTCTTATGGACTGATAACTTGTGTGGATGTCCAAATGCTTGTGGGCACATGTTGCATTCATGGGGTTTATTGCCAGTATGTATGTTCATATGAGTGGTCAAGTGTGACCTACGTTTGAACCGTTTCAGACATAGTGCACATTGATGTTTTCTCTGCACCTGTGAATTGTCTTCTGTTGCCATGGTAACACTCACAGTCTCATATTTCCAAGGTGATTGTTGCCAGTCTGTAAAAACAGATGGGTAGTTAATAGATAGTATCTTTTAATCAACAAATGATATGTTCAATTGTTTCATTTAAATTACTACATGTGAATAATGCATGATGGGTAAAGCTATGAATAATGGGTAACACAATAGGCACAATCATATCATTACAGCTTTATTTATGTCAACAAAAGCAAGGAGGATTGGCTCACAGGGAAACAACTTTGACCTTGACCATTAATGATCAACAATGAAAATGTCCTCAATTTCATAATCAGAATTCATAATCAGGGATCCAAAAGATTTTATTAATATCTTGATATTTTCTTGTGTGTTTTGAAATATTTGTTTGGATATCAGACTGAAACTCGCAATTCAAATTCTGAAGTAAAAAAATGTCGGCTGTTGATTTCGAATTTTGTAATCATGACATCCTTCAAGATCAGTTTTATTGTTGGAAAATATTGAGATTGCATTCTGGGAGCCAATCCACCTTGAACAATAGTAAGGCACCTAAGATTAATGATATCTTCGGCTTGGCCTATGCAGCACCTACAGATCTCAAGACTTCTCTAGTCAAGTCTTTGGTTGACTAGGCTGTTTTTTCCCTTTTATTTTTTTGTTTTGAGCAATCACAGCTTTTGACAATTCCTTTCTAGTAAAGAGGTAGAAGGTTTACTCATAGTTTTTATATCGCCCCACGACCCCGAGTGATGTGAAAGAAGTCAAGGGACAAGATTTAAACATGAATGAAAGATTTACGAGTTCATAATACAGAAGACAAATACATTTGTAATGTGATAATATAGCACATTTATTATTAAATTCAATAATATGTATGTGTAATATAATAATATGCATATATTCTAATTAATCTAAAATAAAATTTTGTAAAATAAATATTTTAATTCACAGAGTGGAAAAGATAAAGCCAAACAAATGTTGTGGATATAATAACACAATAAAATTCTGATTTAAAAATAAACCATTTATCTTTATGAACCTGATAATTTTTTCTGAACAATTGAACTAAAGAGGCAGCAAAGACAGGAGGATGGAGATTATCCTTTTGAAAGGACGATTCTCGGTTTGGAGAACGAAGTTCATCAATCTAAATGAGCATTATCCCTGCTTCGGACAAATTTGATTTTTTTTACATAATATAGATTTGAATGTCTTCTTTTGAATAGTCATAATTTAATTTGGGTAATATTTCTAGATTTTTCGCAAAAAAATATTAGCGCAAAACACTAAATGAACTTCTTTCCCCAAATCGAGACTTGTATTTTATTGAATCGGTCTAATTGATCATTATCCCTGCTTCAGCCCAATTTGTTATTTTTACATCTAGTAGATTTAAATGTCCTCTTTTGAATATTCGTAGTTTAATTTGGGTAATATTTCTATATTTTTCATGAAAAAAATTATTAGTCCAGCAGACTGTTCTCCAAACCGAGAATCGTCCTTTCTCATAAATGAGTTTACTTTAACTTAAATATCCAAGAACTTTCAAATCTGATCAAAAATATCGATTCTTTTTATCAGAAAATAAAATATCCAAGAACTGCAGTATTTGATCAAGTTGTTTTAGTTAATTTTCACATGCATTTTAATTTTGCGATTATTGTACACCTTGCAAAAACACGAAAATTAGATGCACATGAAATAATCTTTGTACAGTATTTCAATTCTTTTTATCAGAAAAAATTAGGAATTTAACATTCTTTGCTGGCTGACTTTAAAGGAAAATATTGTATAAACAAACTGAATGTATTCTAACACTGAATATCGTACCATGGTAAATGTATGGTTATTTAATACAATACACATGTGCACTCACTATACATTGTATAATCATTTTTATATCATTCATCTTGCACATTAGAATACAGATAACTATATTTATTAATAAATATATCATAAAACAAATGATATTCTACAATTATACTCAGATGCGAGTAGGTAGTTACCAGTTTCGCCACCAGGTGGCTGAATCGGGGGAAATAACATGGCAGGGTATTATAAAATTCCCTTAAACTTGAATATTCATCAGTTTTAGTGGTTCATTTTTCATATTACACTTATATATGCAATAGATATACAAATTAAAATATGTCAAGTAAAAGAAAATATTATCTGCCCAACACAAGAAAAGATATTTCACTTTTTGTGGTTTTACAACATGGCGTTAAATTAAATGGGGTTAAATTTAATTTTCAAAGTTGATAAACTCTTTTCAAAACCACATTTCTAGATATAATTTTACATGTAGATTCCAAATATGACATCAGCTTGACTGAGTTTTTAATGACATAAATCAAGATTATTCCTACTCGCATCTAGGATATTGTATATAATGCTAAATACACCTTGTTGTTCTATTATGGCACTACTAGACTACACTGTATTTGGCATTTAATACTCTAAATAAATTTAAATTCATGCATGCAATTTTCAAGAAGAATTCACGTTACTGTACAATTCTAAAATTTCCTTGATTGATGTAATCATCATCAAATAATTTGGGAATTTGAAAAATTCAAGAACCTTAACCATCTCTGGCATCAATGAATTTATATCAGTGAAATAAGTCTTGTACAATAATTTGAGTTGGGTCGGCATTAAGATAAGGTATGAGAATACATGTACCATAAATATACCTCTAGTATGTCTTGTATAATGAACCAGTCGACTACAATCTGATATTTCAGTTATTACTCGTAATCTGAATCTGGGGAATACAAGGGGTGAGAAAATTGGGATTGTTTTACTTGAGATTCAGGTTCAAGATATTGGGGTTGTGTCACTTGGGATTGGGGTTTATCCTGTGAATATTGGGGTTGAGGGTGCTCTGAAGTTTGTGGAAGTGATTCTGAGTAGGAGTGGATATAAGGCTGAGTGTGTGGAGAGTCACCTAGGGGATGTTGTGATTGGGATAAGTTGAAGGCAGCAGATGGGAGAGCTTGTGAATCAGAGTCTAGGGCCTCAGACTGAAGATATCTGGAAGAAGATTGGGAATACCTTCCTGATAATTGAGATTGCTGGTTTTGTGAGTGAGAAGATTTGACTTCATGGCGCTCAGATGTAGGAGACATTGCTTTGGATTTAGGAGATTTAAGGACTGATGGTTCTCGGCCTGTGAGACAACATGAGTTTGGGGGAGATAAGGAGGTTTCTGGACTTATAACAGGAATGCTTATGGAACTCTCATCAGCCTTAGGTTTTGATGATTTAGCCTTTGCTTTTGAACTTTGAAGATGTGGATATTTCACCTTCTTTTCTCTGGACGGATCCTTGTTATCTTCTGGGTTATCTTCAGAAGAATGAGCAGGAGATATTTGTTCTTTATGTGTTTGAGAGTGTACAGCTTGTGGCTGGAGAAGATGCAGTAAAGCAAGCTGAGAAGGGGACAGCTGCAGTGAGGATAGCAATGGGTTTTGAGGGGTTATGGCTTGTAATTGAGAGGGTGGTGCTTGTAGTTGAGGGGGTGGGACTTGTTGGTGAGGATGTGGGGCTTGTAGTTTAGAGGATGGGGCTTGTAAAGCTTGAAGATGAGGATATTTTGGAGTAGGAGGTTTATCTTTATCAGCAGGATAGACTTCAGATTTAATTTCAGAAGTCTGAGGCTGTGAGGTCTGGGGTTGGAGAAGTCGGAGAACTGCTAGCTGGGCAGGGGAGAGACCTAACTGGGCAGCCAGGGTGGGGGAAAGGGGTAGCAAGGCCTGAGGGGTTGGGGACTGAGGAACCTGGGGTAATAGTGTCTGGGCTTGAAATTGGAGTAATGATAACTGCGCTGCAGTGAGTTGCAATTGATTGGCTTGTGAAGGAGATAGATGTGGGTATTGTAACTGGGTTGCTTGTACTTGAGATGGTTTCATTAGTTTGTAATGTGTTCTTTTATGCTGTACTAATCCAAATGGATGACCGAATCGTTTTAGGCAGAGTTCACATTTAAATGGTTTCTCGCCTGTATGGGTCCTCAAATGGTTTACTAAGTGTATCTTTTGTTTGAATGTTTTCAAACAGGCATCACATTTGTGTGGTCTTGTAGCATCCTCTACTGGCTTCCCTGGTTTGGTGCATGGTTTAGCTTCCTCAAAAGAATGTTTATCATGTTCATGGGCTGCTTTACTGCCATCTTCAAATTTCTCTTTCTCTAGTTCTTTCTGGAAAATTACCGATGCATGTTTATGAAGTATTTTTAATTCATCTTGATCTGTTTTAGTATCAATTTGTTTATTACTAATATCATCTTTTTCAATGTTTGATTGTGATGTCATCGAAGTAAACAGTGCATCTTTCCATTTTTCATGTTCAGATGCATTTGGCTGTTCTTCATTTTTGTTAAGTTCCTCACTATCATCTGGTTTATTACTATTTTCAAGTATCTTTGGTGATTGATTAATACTTTCGAACTTTGATTTTGTCGGTGTGGTATTAGCTTCAACTTTGTGGCACATCTTCTCAATGTCAACTGGCATTTTAAGGTGCTTTCTTGCGTCAATGGTACTAGCTACTGCATTACTTGGCATTTTGAGATTCTCCCTTGTTGTAGTATTATCTGGTCGCCTATCAATATCTGCTCGTGGCAGTGTGCTTAGTCCAAGAAGCGCGACAGCTGCAGCTGAAATCAAAAGTTGAAGAATTTTTTCATCAAATGATTCACTTAAATAAGGATTTTCATTTTAGGTAAAGCGGGTGAGGCTTTAAGGTCACATGATGCTGACTGGAGCATTGTCTCCTTATTTGGCATTGGAAGACAGTAGTTTAGGCATTGGTTTCATGGAGGCTGGAGTGTTATATTATCTGATATACACGTCCAATCCACACTCTGAAATCAAGGTACCATAAGGTACATTAAGAATTTTGTACCATACAGTATTGTTTGAGTATAGTAACATACAGTGTTCATGGTACTGTTTTAGTCTAAGGCACTGTACGATACCACATTTTATGGTACCATACAGTACTGTTTCCAAAATGGTCAGTTAATGTTAGAGATTGGCTGTAAACTTAACAATTCATTCCCCCCTATAAAAGGTTCAGGAGAAGCCTTTTAATAAGGTTGTTGCTTTTCAGTGAAATTGGTACCAAAGTTGAAAGCTTTCCTGAAAACAAACCAATCAGGTCAAAGTTGAATTTTCCATACTCAACCAGTACCATATAGTACCATACTCTTAAAGTACCATATGCTACCCTGATTTCAGAGTGTGCATTAGGGATATACTGTACAAGCAAATTAGACATGTATATCATGCTTCAAGAAAGAGACCCTTAAAAATTCTGTCTGAATATTGAAGGGAAATATAGCTGGACTTGGGTTAGACAAATCTATTTAGTTTTTGGTTGTTCTTTCATACTGTATCATATCTAAGATATGGAAGAAACTGTAAAGTGGAACACTTCAATTTACTATATTTGCACATAGCCATCTTTAGATTGATGACCAATCTAGTGATGGCTATGTGCAAATATAGTAAACTTCAATAAGTGGACTACATGTGTCTAATGACCAATGATTGACTTAAAGGTTGTATCAGATATAGCAGAGTAGTAGTAGTAATGACAATGATTACTTCAATTTTAGAATGTTTTAGGCTCATGTCATTCCCTATAGATCTGATTCTGCCTTTAATGTTAAATGAACCTGGGTAAGAAGAACACCTCCCACAAACTATCAATGATCACAAACCCATTCTTAATTACCTATTCATTTGACAGAATAAAATATAATTAACATAATGTTTATAACTATACTTTTTATTAGGGTCGCATATTTGGTAAAATTTACCTTAACAATTGTTACATGTTTTAAAGACAAATCCTTATGCTATTTAGTACAAATTATATGACAACAAAAAGTTAACTAAGAGAAAGTCTAACTATAAACTTACTGTATTCTAAAGAATAACTATAAAAATATATCTCAACATAGTCTAGTCAATAACACATATACAAAAAACAGTAACACTTTACAAAATCATGTATGATATGAATATTTAAGTTCAACGTGTAAACTGAGTTTACAACAGATTTAAGTAGTTTTATTGTCTAATGAGAAAATGTCCATGTTTGAGTGAGAGCATATATTTTTTGTACTACAGGGCGTTCAGTAAGTAAAGCTAATTTTGCTCTCAAACTTTTATTTCTTGTCTATCATCGTTCAAATTTTCAGTGGAGTGGCATCAGACACTGTTCTAACTATCCTGAAAAAATGATCAAGATATAATGAATAACAGCTAAATGGTGGTTGTCATAGTAACGCGAATACGGGTTCTGCGGAGCAATTTTATAAGTTCACAACATAGTAGATTTTGTTAACGTTAGTTTCTGTCCTGTCTATATTTCAACCATAGTTCTGTGGCTACTCCACATTTCTACTTTCAAGTTAGCATTCTATTTCATGTTCAAAGTAGTTCCCCTAAGCTTTCACACTCAGCTGATGTCATTCTATCCACTTCTGATATATCCTGTGGAAGCCATCTGGAAAGTTCTTTGTCAGCAAACGTTAAACGGCATTCTGAAGTTCATGGATATTTGCGTGGATCTTACCACGCAAATCATTTTTCAAACATGAAAATACCCCAAAATCGCACAGTGCCTTGTCAGGAGAATACGCTGACTGGCCTTGAACCTCCATCTCCAGCGTTTTCTGGATAGTATCCTGCACCATTTGCGACCTATGCGATGGCGTATTATCTAGATGGAATATGTAGGAGTTGAGAGTCCTATGGGGCCTTTTCTTGCGAATCGCGTTCACAAGATGGCGCCGCAGCAGCTGAAAATGAAATGTGAATTTGATCATTTGATGTTTAAGTTAAAATGTTTTCTTTGTATTATTTTAGAGGTAGACCTAGTACTCAAACCAAGCTAATTATTAGAAAGCTATATTTCATAAAATGTAATTACCATGGCATAATATTCCTTGTTAACAGTCTGCCCTTCTGGCATGGCATGAGCCAACAATGGACCTTCGATGTCTATAAAAATGATAAACACGACTTTCCCCGCTGATGCTCCAAGAGCTAGCTTTGCAACGATCCCCACGGGTGTTGGAGAGTTCTTTGTTCGCCACGCACTGTTCTGTCTTGTACTATTTGGCTCAAAGTATCGAACAAAAGTTTCATCACAAGTGAGAAGATTGTTTAGAAAGTCCTCTCCCTCATCTTTGTAACGGCGCAAGAATGCAACTGAATCTTCCAGGCGATGTTTACGCTGCTCGTCGGTCAGATTCTTTGGTACCCATTTCACAGACACCAAGGACATATTTAGAGAATTGTGAATCAGATAATGTACCCATCCTAGGCTGATATTGGTTAGTTCTTAGAATTCCCTTACAGTTATACTGCGGTCTTCATCTAACAATTGCCTCAAATGATTCATGTTAGCCTCTTTGGTTAGAAGTTTTGGCCTCCCTGACCTTGGCTCATCACTTGTTGTTTTTCTCCCCTTTTGGAATTTCTGATACCATTTGTAGATTGTGTACTTACTTAGGCACACTGTCCCCATATGCTTTTTGGATATCCCTAATGGTATCCTGCTTGGATTTCCCTAGCAACACATTGTATCTGATGCTACTTCTCAATTGTTGTTTCATTTCATTGTTCATTTTGCTTTCATTGGCAATCCTGGCAGCCATGATTTTGATGATGTCATGGAGCAGTGTCTGATGGATCATTCTGGATCATTCCATCTGTTGTATCATCTGTCTGTGATGTCATAGACTACTGTTGCCATGGTATCATATTTGTGTATGTTGTTGTTATGTTTGTCGTGACTTTCAGCCATAGCAAACAAAGACATATGCAGCATTAATCTTAATCAATTTCATTGCATTATAACATTTTTATTAAAGTAAGAAATTGCTCCGCAGAACCCGTATTCACGTTACTATGACAACCATTGTTTTGCTATTATTCATCATATCTTATTTACTTTATCAGGGTAGTTAGAAAAATGTCAAATGCTTCTTCACTGAAAATTTGAAAGATAAATGACAAAAAATAAAAGTTTGAGAGCAAAATTAGCTTTACTTACTGAACGCCCTGTACATGTGTAAATGAATCTAAAAAATAACTACTGAGGGTAATATGATATGTCTTATTATCCATTTTGTGACTGGATGAGTTATCTGTACTTTGATAAGTGAACCCCCACTCCATATTAAAGGTAAATCACTATTATGGTAAATTCCTTGTTCATTGAGAGGAATCCCTTGTTCATTGAGGGGAATCCCATATTCATTTCAGGAAATCCCTTGTTCAGCAAGGTTAATCCCTTGTTCTTTTAGGGAAATCCCTTGTTCATCTAGGAGAATCCCTTGTTCTTTTAGGGGAATTCCATGTTCATCGAGGAGAATCCCCTGTTCATCTTAAATAATTCCATGTTGATCTTAGAGAATCTCATGTTCGTTGTCATGAGTTCCATGTTCATCTAGGGGGATTCTTTGTTATCTAGGTGAATCCATAATTCATCTAAATGAATTCCTTGTTTATGTGAGAATGAATTATTGTTCAATATTTTAATCATGGCATTGAAATTGGTTCAGTATTGTCAATTCCAACCAAGGAGTGGAGCACTCGATTTCAACTTACAGTTAAAACATACTTCTTCAATGAATCCCTTCTGATTTTACATGGCCGGTGTGAAAGAAAGAGATATCTCATGTCCTTTCTGCTTCTTGTGTTTGATGAGATTCCCAGGATGGGCATAAGCCTGATCACAAAACTCACACTTAAAAGGGCGCTGCCCCATGTGAATATTGATATGGTAGCTGAGATTCTGCTTTGTGGCGAATGATTTCAAACATAGGTGGCACTGGTGTATCTTTGCAAGTATGGCTTTCTGTGAGGATGCCCGGACACAGGTTAGGGCAGAGGGGGGCATCTCAATCGGGGGAGGGTGCTGTGTGTATTGTTGCTTCTCAGAGTAGATGTTACCTGGAATTAAAGGCATGCTTTATTAGTACATGTTAGAGATGAATGATGCATCAACAATTCCATTTTCATCAAGCCTAAGTTTATGACCATCCTTGTGGCCGAAATTATTATCATGGCCCAATACAATCATCATGACAAAGCAGTATATTTGGTTCATTTCAATCATTATCTATACCTCAATGAAAATAGTGTCTAAATATAATTGATGTGGATCTAACAATTACAAGAACTGAAATATAAATAGGTTAGTAGCCTAGTTAGTTGGGGGAGGGGGGGGGGTGAGTCCCTCTCCCCTTAGCCAAAAATTCTTTCAAAATCATGGAGTTTTCACAATTCTGAACACTCCTTTGACCAAAATTGTCAAAAGTGAACCAATCCCTGGAATTTTTAATAAAAAGTGAACCCCCTTGGCAAATCCTGACTACAGGCCATATAAAAGTTTACTAATTGCCATGAGTTTGGCTTTTCATCCCTGAAATAATAAACATTAATTCTTTCATCTAAGTATCCTTTCCAACCAGTAGCCTCAGAAAGTACCCTAAACAATAAGCAAACAAACCTGACTATTTACCAAATTCATTGTGACTACCTATTCCTAGTTGAATAAACTCATTGCTGGCCAAAGCTTATAATTTTGGAGGTTTTCTGAATGGCAATTTTGATGGAAAATTTAGAAAAATTGCACATTTTCACGTTAGCATAAAATGGACTGTATCAACACCCTATGCGCTACGTTTTATGTCATTTGTGAAGCCAATGACAATATATTTCAATTGCACCCAACCATGTTCCCCTAGTAGCCCCTACAATATTTGGTAAGATTATTGGTATAGATTATGTGACAATTATTGGATACGATTATGACGTCATAGATGAAATATCTCGGGGTTGGTCAACATTGAGCTAACAAAAATTCATATTTCTTATGGACACTCTAATAAGAACAGTAATTTGAATGAGGTCATGAAGATCAATTATACACAAATTGACTGATGTATCAGTTCATCTGCGTATCCAAGAGATTTTTTTCTTTCAAGTTATATTTATTATAATACATGTAGTTACAATGCTCGATAAAGCTGCCAGTCGCTGAAAAAGTATTATAGGCTAGCTTTTACTTTTAACAATTTATAACAAAGTGGTATAAAACAATTCAGCATGATTATGTTATTGCAACTCCACATGAGCGCTGACAGGAGAATATTTTAAGAGTAAATTCATTACAAAATCAGTTATATAAAGAAAGGATTTTGATAACACTTTCTTTTAGAATTGTGTCTTCTTCAAGAGATTAATTGCAAAAAATCAAAGTTAATAGTGTATTAATTAAATTAATATACAAAAAAAAACTTGTAATGCCTATGTAAGTGGAACACCTAAATTGTGGAATGTCAAAACCTCTATAAGAGTAACACCTCCACAAACACTATTTTAACAACTTGTTCCACACGTTTTACTGTATATTACCGGCGGTTACTAGAGTGCTGCTAACTCGATAAAAGGTTGGCACTGGCTAGAATTATCTATGGTTCTAGCCAGGATAAAGATACCAGTTCTTCAACTCGACAATGGGAAGAACTGCTCTACCTTAGTGACTAATATGTCATGATATGACATCTAAAGAGTCAATAAAAGATATATATATCAATTTTTCTTTCACCATTTTCATGTTTGTACTTATGATCTATTGAAAAGAATCAGATGATACAACAAACAATCAAAACTCCCTTTTATAACTGTTTTTATTGTATATCATATTGGTGATGTCTTATTACAGAGAATTTCTACAGGGTGAGCAAAAAAAATAACCCAAACAAATGTTAATAACTCCATCTTCCAACAGGGATTTTGAGGCATACTTAGCAAAATTAATCCTTGTTCAATGTTCTTTCATTCTCCTATGTTTCATTGGTTTACTTTTAATGGTCAGGATTTTAGGGCCATTTTACAAAACATGCTCCAAATGTGGAAAAATCACCCAATATGAATCCCCTTACCTTATTTTTTTCATTCTATCTTTTATCAGATATTGTCCGCATTTACAATTCTACAAGTAAGGACATAGTGAGAGAGGTTTCTTGGGGCTCGTGGGAACCCCCCCCCCCCCAATCGCCTGGAACCACCTTTCATTATAAAACAAACCCCCAGCTGGGATCAACGCCCTTTTCTGAAAGATCAGCCCAGGCTTGGAAAACAAATCCCACTGTCAGAAAGATGACTACTTTTGTGTGAACAATGAATTGCACATTTATACTACCTATTTGATGATGCTCATACTATATTCTGCAATTTGATTGGTTTGTTGAAACCATTTCCATTGTGCAAATCCCCCCTCCATATCCTTCGCCTTGAACCCCTCTTCGTTATAACGAACCCCAAAGCAGGGGAAATATTGGACCCCCATTGGTAAATACTGTCTAGAAGCATCAGGGAGTTGTATCAAGAAATAATAAGGATGTTTTGTAAAATAGACATGGTCATTTGAAATAGACCAATGAAACTTGGTAGAATGAAAGAACATTGAACAATAGGTTCCATCATGCTAGATATGAATTTACCGCAAAACCATGCTGGATGAATGAGTTATTAACATTTGTTTGGGTTACCTTTTTGGCTCACCCTGTACTTGGACTGTCATTGGTCCATTTAGTAATAATGCTGGTACACATAAAATAAATAGCCACTAATTTTCAGTGGTTTAATGATTAGAAATGAGATTATAATAAAAAATTCACAACTTTTTGAATGACCCTTGTATGTGAATAGATCAAGCTGGGAAGCACTATTTCTGCATGGATAATCATGTTTTACTCTTAGCCTCCAATGATTGCAATTTCATTATTTCTATGTAACCCATTAAGTTATAAGACAGGTGAGGAGCAGCCTCACCCATCCTTGCTGCAAGGGTATTTTACAAGTATATGGATTTGAGCATAAATGAAGTCCTTTGAAGAAGGATGGCCTCACCCAAATTTTCCAAAATTATTTTTTCAAGTTTTCAATTAAAATTGCTTAACTTATGTCTCGCAGAAGTATTATATCCTCTCTGACATGAGTTAGTTCCTCGCCTATTAAAATTTGCAGCAACTTTGTTTAGATCTGAGCTACAACTTTGATCAATAGTAATCCATTGTCCTTGTTACAGACTTTATGTAAAGTAGTATCATTTTTAATCAATTATTTCATTTACATTCTTATTCTTTCAAATTCAATTCAATACCATACATGTACTATTGTAGCGTGTTGTTCTATGTTACACTTTTAGGGTCTTATGGTACACTTAAAGGGGTTGTGCATATTTATTATGTAAAGAACTTTAAATGTCCCTAGAGTTGGTCCTAACATCTGTTACACTTTTAGGGGCATGAGTTACACTTTTAGAAGTTTTACATTATGATTTTGTGATTATGTTAAGGGTATTACCTAAATGTCCTTTGATATTGTGCTTCTATGTTACACTTTTAGGGGTCTATGCTACACTTTTAGGAGTTGTACATCGTGATTATGTTATTGGTATTCTCTAAACGTCCCTTGAGACTATGTTGATTCTATGTTACACTTTTAGGGGTCTATGCTACACTTTTAGGAGTTGTACATCATGATTATGTTATTGGTATTCTCTAAACGTCCCTTGAGACTATGTTGAGTCTATGTTACACTTTTAGGGGTCTATGCTACACTTTTAGGAGTTGTACATCATGATTATGTTATGGGTATTCTCTAAACGTCCCTTGAGACTATGTTGAGTCTATGTTACACTTTTAGGGGTCTATATATTTAGGTGTTGTAGGCATGCTCTATATGTCCTTTAGAATGTGCTTCAATGTTACACTTTCTGTAGTCTATGTTACACTTTTAGGGGTCTATATATTTAGGTGTTGTAGGCATGCTCTATATGTCCTTTAAGAATGTGGTTCAATGTTACACTTTCTGTAGTCTATGTTACACTTTTAGGGGTCTATATATTTAGGTGTTGTAGGCATGCTCTATATGTCCTTTAGAATGTGCTTCAATGTCACACTTTCTGTAGTCTATGTTACACTTTTAGGGCTCTATATATTTAGGTGTTGTAGGCATGCTCTATATGTCCTTTAGAATGTGATTCAATGTTACACTTTCTGTAGTCTATGTTACACTTTTAAGGGTCTATATATTTAGGTGTTGTAGGCATGCTCTATATGTCCTTTAGAATGTGCTTCAATGTTACACTTTCTGTAGTCTATGTTACACTTTTAGGGGTCTATATATAGGTGTTGTAGGCATGCTCTATATGTCCTTTAGAGTGTGCTTCAATGTTACACTTTCTGTAGTCTATGTTACACTTTTAGGGGTCTATATATTTAGGTGTTGTAGGCATGCTCTATATGTCCTTTAAGAATGTGGTTCAATGTTACACTTTTTGTAGTCTATTTTACACTTTTTGTAGTCTATATTACACATTTTGTAGTCTATGTTACACATTTTGTAGTCTATGTTACACATTTTGTAGTCTATGTTATATGTGTAAGGCCCAATGCTATATACTTCTAGGTGTTGTACACCGTGATTATGTTATGGGCATGCTCTAAATGTCCCTTGAGATGGTGCTTCTGTCTGAATGTTTTCTCACACAAATTACAGCCAAATGGTTTCTCACCAGTATGAACCCTCAAGTGACGGTCACGTATGAACTTGCTTTTAAATGTCTTAAGACATAGATCACATTTATACTTGTAATTGGTAGATTCTTCACACGTTGTGGGTTCACTCCTTCCAAATTGACTTGTTTGAGAAGTGCCAAGGGTTACTGCTTCAAATGGTGCTCTGCCTAAGTCAGATGGATAAAATCGTTCCAGAACTGAAATCAACAAGAATTATGTATTAGTTTGATGTCTATGTCTATGTCAATAATCTGCAAAAGGCTAATTAGCCCATATAAAGCAGATATATAATTTAACAGTGGTATAAATTGAAAAGAATATAATTTAAAACCTTGACATTTAAAAATAGATGGTGTTGATGATATCTATTGAGACAAATTTTTTTATATGAAAACTCTACATGGTCTTTGAGTGAATTTTTGGCCAAAAGAGGAGGTGATGTGATACCAAAAGATGAGGTGATAAGATACCAAAAGATGAGGTGATGTGATACCAAATGATAAGGTGATGCGATACCAAAAGATGACGCGGTGTGATACCAAAAGATGAGGTGATGTGACACCAAAAGATAAGGTGATGTGACACCAAAAATGAGGTGATGTGACATCAAAAATGAGGCGATATGATACCAAAAGATGTGGTAATGTGATACCAAAAGATGAGGTGATGTGACACCAAAAAAGAGGTGATGTGATTCCAAAAGATAAGTCGATATGATACCAAAAAAAGAGGTGATGTGATTCCAAAAGATAAGTCGATATGATACCAAAAGATGAGGTGATGTGATACCCCATCAGTTCTGCATTCACTAAAATCAAATAATACTATACTAGTATTATGAAAGTATTTACAGTGTATAAGGCATAGCCAAGTATGAGGGAGGGGCAAGTGTCTTGTGAAAATTTAACAGAAAAATTTAAATTCAGACATTTTTCAACCAAAATTGAGAATTAAAATAAAGTTGTATAATAGCATTTTCTAGTTGTGGAGTAAATAATTGTAGAGACTCGCTATTGAAACACCTAGGGTCTGTGTCCAAACAATCGTGTTCATTCTAATGTCCATAAATGTGACTTGCTAAAGTATGTTTTAAGTCACTGTTGAAAAACATTTATTACAACTTATTTTAGATGTTTGCAGAGGAAAATACAAAAAATATAACGTAAGTATGATGCTAATTCAGGAAAAAGAGCTACTTTGGAAGTGAATTCATGTAATTTTCTTTATTAATTTTTGCAAAAACAAAGACATCAAAAGACTTATTTTTTGTTGACTCTTGGTTTAATTTTTCCTAATTGATTCAACTCTCGTTTTTTGGCAATTTGCACAACTAGTATTTGCTATCCTCTAATATCTGGCTCACCAATTTGACTTTGTACTCAATCTATCAAATTTACTCAAAGTAAAAAAATATTTTTCAAATTAATTTCTTTATTTAAACATCAAATAACAGACATCATTACAAACAGAAAGCATGCATGCAAATTATATCAGACAAAAATATGTTGAAACAACATATAACAGAAACAAGTACAGATTCTATAGTATTTTATAGTCTTTTGCATGTATTTAAAGCAATTCAGGATTCTCCAAACTTCAATATGCACGATTGTTTCTTTTGTTCATTCAAATCTGTGGTAGATACTACAGGGACCAAAAACTTTGACGTTTGTGGAGAACAGCTCTGATATTTGTATTTCACTGGAAATTTATACAATAAATGTATAATCCTTCCTTACTGAAAAAATCACTATGCATCTTCCATAAGCTGCCACCAGTGTTATGCAATACAACATTTTATTGTGTTATATTTCATTAAATCTTAAAATAATCTGAAGATTAAAAAATTCATCTTTCCATCCAAGTCTACTTTCTATGGAGATTCTCGTGCTGCTTGAGATTGTCCTTTCGTCCAAATGCCTTATTGCAAAATGAACATTTAAAAGGTTTTTCTCCAGTGTGGACCTTTAAGTGTCTTTCTAGTTTATATGGTGATTGAAATGTTTTCCTACAGAGCTGGCAAATGTGCTGTTTGTCTGATTTGTGCCTAGAGGGAGTCTGTGGTTGAGTTGATTGTACTCTATAGTGTACAGGGAGACCTTGGTCAGACTGATGAGTGGCCATTGACTGATTAGCGGCTATTGACTGATGATATCTACCTTCAAGTAATCCTACACTGCCCATATAACCTGGAAAGATAAAACAGATCATCAGTATGATTTTTTTGATCACCACTTCAAAATCATAAGTGATACAACAGCTCAGCTATGTGTTTAGAATGAGGGACTTTTGGGTGGATTAGTCAATAAAATATCCTGACAATAGGGGTTGAAAACACATAAAATTTCAAATCAACTCTAAACAAACTAGATATCAACTCATTAAACTGATAATATTGTCGATTAATGCATATTGTTACAATGACTATCAAATTCACATTAACACTCAGAACCAAAATATACCATATAAATTAAAAGGTCAAAGTAATATGATGAGACATAAATTGACACATCCTCCAAAATAAACTGAACGTACATAGGATTTATACCCAATAGATTTCTATTCGAGCACTTTGTGAACCATTCTCCTGTGTTGTTTCAAACTTTGGGGCTGGATAAATGATTTTTTGCAAAATTCACAAGTGTATGGTTTCTCTCCAGTATGGATCCTACAATGGTATCTATAGTTTGTGACATCACAGAATGACTTCAGACACATTGTACACAGAAATTTGTTTTTTCTGATTCGTTGCTTTTTTTCTCCAGTGTGGGTACTAATGTCCTCTCCCGTATGTATTCCTGTTATATCTCGAGTGTTTTCATTGATTTTCTCCCCAATGTGGGGCATATCATTATTATTATGACTGTCATAACTAGCACCATATATTTGATATGGTAAACAGTCACTATGAGGGTTCTTGTTTGGCAATTGATGGCCTTGAACCCTTAATGACCTTGAGGTTGCTATGGAAGGCTCATGTTGTCTTCTCTCCCAAGCAAGTGTTGTTACCATGGTTACATGGCCTGAAAGTAGAAATAAACTTTATTCACCAAATGTAAGTTTACCTTTTCTTCAATAAAGATTTCCTCACTTTCTATGTTCATGTACCAGTATGGAACTTCAAATAGCATTTGACTCAGACTAGTCCCATGAAAGCCTCCTTGCAAGACAATATTGAAATAATAAAAATAAATAGTAAATGCATATCTTACATTTTAAAGTTTTTTTATTTTCATTATAATATTATACATAAGAACTGGTATTGTCAGTGGTATGAAAAAGCAATGTCTTATTATTAAATCTCAAACACAAATGATTTCTCTGGTGTGGATCTTGTATCTCTGTGTTGCACTGATAAAATTAATTTGTATGTTTGGATCATTAACAGTCAATAATATACAAGTATGTACTGTATGCTTAATCCCTTATGTTTGGATCATCAACAGTAACCAATTTAATTGTATGTTACCTCTTGCCTACTGTTTTTATGTTGATCCTTTGCAAGTGTTCCCCATATTATTCAATGTTTTAATGTTGCCCTTTTATACATGTTCATCTGTGTCTTTTCATAATGCTCCTTTACAAATGCTCCAAATATTAGGCCTATTCTATGTTTTCATGTTGCTCCTTTGCAAATGTTCCCCATATTATTCAATGTTTTAATGCTGCCCTTTTATACATGTTCATCTGTGTGTTTTCATATGTTAATCCTTTACAAATGTTCATCCATATTATTCAAGCTCACAATTAGGATCCATTTTATGTACATGATTTATATGACTCTTAAGATGATGCTTCATCCTAAAGCTTTTTCCACATATCTGACAACAATGGGGTTTCTCTCCAGTATGGACTTTAAAATGATGGTTCAAACCGGTGCGATCTCTGAAGAATTTACAGCAGAGATTGCACTGAAATTTATGTTGTTGCTTGTTTTTAGGACTAACATCGGAATACCACACTGCATTATTTGTCAATGCATCAGTGTCTCCTCTAGTGTCAAATAATGAGTCTTCAGTTTTTAAGTCATCTTTTGAAGTGGCATCATGATTCTGTCCTCCATAATGCTGCCAGTATATCTTGGCTGAAAAATAAGTGAAAATTCTAAACTTTTAAATAACTGCTGTATTTAATTGTAAAGCTACCTAGTAATAAAGATACATTTTGACAAAGAAATACAATGACGCTTTTTAAACAGGTCCAGACCATATAAAACATATACATACATGTAGGAACTAAAACATATAGCTATAATTCATAAACTAACATGTTGTTCATCTAAAACAAACTTTTCCAATTAAGGTTCACATTCATTTAAGGCATATTGCTGAAATTCTATCTGGAGTGTTTTCCTGCACATATCACACATAAATGGCCTTTCTCCAGTATGGATCATCATGTGATAACTTAGAATTACACAGGGAAATTCTAAAACCTTTAAATAACTACTGTATTTTATTGTAAAGCTTACCTAATAACAAAGATACATTTTGACCAAGACATACAAATTAGTGTTCACATTTTTCACTTATAACAAAAAAATGTTCGATAAAATAAGAACTGGTGTGACTACACAGTGACCTTTGATTTACAATTAATAGATAACAAACTTAGAACTAAAACCTTTTCGATAAAAGTGTTGTCGAGTTGCAGGTCCAGACCACATGAAACATAGGAACTACATGTATATAGCTATAACTTATAAACTAACATTTTGATTATTTATAAACAAACTTTTCCAACTTTTAAGGTTCATCTTCATTTGAGGCATATTGCTGAAATTATATCTGGAGAATATGTCCTGTCCATTTTATGATGAAGAAGTCTGATCCATTTTTTGAAGAATAAGTCATATCCATTTTATGAAAAATAAGTCATATCCATTTTATGCACCCTTTGGACATGTTGTTTTAGTTGATGCTTGAGTTTGAATGTTCTTCTGCACATATCACATATAAATGGCCTTTCTCCAGTATGGATCATCATATGATTACTCAGATTACAACTATTTCTAAACCTCTTGCTACAACAAGGACATTTATATTTCAACTGGATCATTTGTCCTCCACGTGTGATAGATACATCATCTGGAATGCTGTCAATGTTCATGTCAGGAGTTGTTATTTCTCCAGTGTAGGTACCTATCTTTCCAGTACTGACATTTCCAGTGTGGGATATTGTCTCTTCAGTATAGGTACCTATCTCTCCAATGTGTTGTAATTTCCAATTCTCATAGTTAATATTAGTTGGGTATTCTCCTTGACCTGGAAAGCAGGTATATTAGTTAGTTATACGCATCCATACACCTTCCAATACTGTATTTAACAATGTACTTAGATATATGTTATCTTAACTTACATGCAATTAATAGCCAATAATAAAATTGCTCAAACTAAAACAGTGAGGAAAAATAATCACACAAAATTAAAAGTTCATCGAGCCTTATAAGCTAGTGTTATAGTATAACATAAACATTGGGGATGAAGATCTGCAACACATATCTCTCTGAGACTGGTTTCTAATCTTTTGGATACATAAATTGTGTCCAGTGTGCATAGCATATTCATTTTCAATATACTTCGTTCTTTGTGCATGATATATATTGTACATGCATATCATTTTATACGTCCTATGTATCATTTCATGCATCAGGTGTCATCTCATGTATCACATGTCATCTCATGCATTATGTGTCATCTCATGTTGTATGTGTCATCTCATGCATTATGTGTCATCTTATGCATCATGTGTCATCTCATCTAGCATGTATCATCTCATGCATTATGTGTCATCTTATGCATCACATGTCATCTCATGCATCATGTGTCATCTCATGCATTATGTGTCATCTTATGCATCATGTGTCATCTCATACATCATGTGTCATCTCATACATCCTATTTTTGCATTTGTATGGTAATATTGAATATGCATTCCTTTCACTGAACTTAACTGAACATAAACGCAACGATCAAATTTCAGCTTTAGAAGCACTATGAATGCTACTGTATTTTGATGAGATGAAAGCAGTTTTTAGGATCCAAATTTTCAGTGAGTCTAGCTTGTCTGTTTATGTACTCCCCTCATATGTGTGTTAAGATGTTGTTGTTGCCTGAAACGCTTTAAACACATTATACACTGATATGGTTTCTCTCCAGTATGGATCCGCATATGATTACTCAGATTACAACTATTTCTAAACCTTTTGCTACAACAAGGACATTTATATTTCAACTGTATCATTTTTCCTCCACGTGTGACGGATACATTATGTTGACTTTTGACCACTGTGAAAGTCCCTGGGGTAGTTCTCTCAGTGGTTATTTCACCAGTGTGAGTACTTATCTCTCCAGTACCGTAATTCCTATCTCTGGTGTAGGTATCTATCTCTCCAGTGTGGGATATTGTCTCTCCAGTACAGGTACCTATCTCTCCAGTGTGTTGTAATTTCCAATTCTCATAGTTAATATTAGTTGGGTATTCTCCTTGACCTGGAATGCAGGTATACTAGTTAGTTATACGCATCCATACACCTTCCACAATCTTCCTGATTTAGATATTCAGAAAAAAGTTGATTTATAAGGTATCCCACATATTTTCAGTGAGAATTTTTAATTACATGTACTTGGTATTGCCATAAAGTGCTCTGAGAGCTAAGCATACTTATATGAATATATTTAACAAAACAGTACACATTTCATACATCATGTGTCATGTCATGCACACGTGTCATTTCATGTATCATGTGTCAGCTCATACATCCTGCTTTCATATTTGTATGATAATATTGTGGATGCATTCCTCTCATGTGAATATTCCATAGTAAACAAAATAACTTTTACATAAACGTAACAATCTTTTAGTATTAGAAGAATGTTTTGTTGAGATGGAAGCAGTTTTTCAGTAAGTCTAACTTGTCTGTTTATGCACTCCCTTCATATGTGTGTTAAGATGTTGTTGTTGCCTGAAGCGCTTTAAACACAGTACACATTGATATGGTTTCTCTCCAGTATGGATCCGCATATGAATTTGAAGATGTAATAAAGATCTGAATCGTTTATCACAAATTTCACAACCAAAGTTCTTCAAAGCAACATCAGAAGCATTTCGAGTATTGCTAGGATTATTTGAATATCTTTCTCCGAATAAAAGGTTTGGAATATTATCTGAACAACTCTTTCTAGTAAAAGTCTGTATGTGGTTTTCATAAGTCTTGCCAGTGAGGGTTCTTCCTGTTTTACTATAGCCCCAGTTGTAACCCATTGTCCCTGGAAAATAAATCAACTTTAAATGTTCTTTAAATGAATGTGTTAAACATTACAAAACATGAGTCACAAGTTCATACCGTCTTTACTGTGGTCTTTTTAATTCTAAAATAACAGAGAAAGTGTTGAAATTAGAAGGAATGAAATAATGAACAAAATAGCATAGTATTCAAATTTCATGAAGAAATTTATTCAATATTTGATTTGAACATATGACAAGCAACATATCTACCATAATACAATATATTACTGATAAACATTTTCACAGTGTACAACCAAAATGATGTTACAGTTACAGGCACACCAGAGAGCTTCTGTACTGATTTCAAACAGAGAAATGCCCTGGAGCAAGAATAATGGTGCCAGCCAAAAGTTGCGTCAAAATCAGAGCACAAAGATATAATTTGGCACAGTTTCCAACATTAAATTGTGATTTGGCTGACAAAAACCTAATCTTAAGATAATATTAACAGTGAATGTATCAGCATTTTGCTATTACACCGCATTATTAGTTTGATTGATTATGAAATATATGCCTCTATTCTACTATTCTGTATCTAGAAACTGGCAACAGAGGGCTTCACTACATGCCTATCAGACCTCTTTCAATGGGATAATGTATTTCTTGTTCTCTTCTGTATTATTTTAGTATCCCATCAGTGTACTTTCCTGTTGTTCTTTATTTTGACTTGTTTATGTACTCCTTTCATATGTGTATTGAGATGCTGATGTTGTCGGAATCGTTTCAAGCATAACTCACACTGAAATGGTCTCTCCCCAGTATGGATCCTCATGTGAACTTTAAGTTCTTGCGAAAATTTAAATTGTTTACCACAAATATCACAACCAAATTTTGAAAAAACATTGGAGGCTTTAGGATTGTTGCCAGGTTTATTTGAAAGTCTTTCTCCAGATGAATAGTAATTTAGGTGTAATCCTCCAGTATGGATCTGTGTTTCTCCAGTAAGGATTCCCCCAGTGATTCCGTAGTTCATGGTGTCAATCTTTTTTACTGCAAAATAAACCAACTTTAAATGTTAAATGTCAGTTGCAAAAAAATAAACAAAAGGTCCTAAGAGCTATCATTCTTGATATTACATTACATATTTTATTTATAGAATTTGTCGTATAGTATCCAGCAATCTCAGCATATAAATAGTACTGTTACTTTGATACATATATTTGTAATAATCATGATTGTCCATATATTTATCATATCAACTGCTTCTTCTTGCTACACACATATACAATGGCCCTGTATGTATCCTGAGTGTCCATTCCTATGTCCTTTATGCCAGTATTATGTGTCAATTCTCGAGTCCTATGTATCAACAATTCCTGTATCATATATTTGAGACGATGAGGGACACAAGCAGTCTATCCCAATATATTTCAGTATTTTTCTGATACTATTGCCTATGCACTCCTTTCATATGTGTGTTAAGATGTTGGTGTTGTCTGAAACGCTTTAAACACAATGCACACTGGTATGGCTTCTCTCCAGTATGGATCCTCATATGAATCTTGAGATTTTGAGAATCTTTGAATCGTTTACCACAAACATCACAACCAAATTTCAAAACAACATTAGACGCATAGGGAACATTGCTAGGTTTACTTGAATGACTTTCTTTGAATGAACGATTCCAAGTATTCAATGCATGTCTTTCTCCTGCAAATGTCCGTATATAGTTTTCAGAAGTCTCGCCAGTGAGGATTCTTCCAAATTTACTAGAGGCCCAGCTGTCACTCATTGTCACTGGAAAATAAACCAACTTTGAATTTACAATGAGTGTGTGTGCTAGATATTTACAAAACAATAAGTTTATAATAAGTTTATTGCTAACAAGAAATGAAACAGCAGCCAATGTCTGAAATTGAGAGGAATCAATGAAATTCAGGCGTGTTCTAAATTGTGATTGGTGTCCCCAAATTTGATTTTGATTTTATTCAGCCTAAAACTTTGATTCTCCAACATTTGAAACTATTAGATGCTTGAAAATTTCACAACTGGCTTGCACCAAGTTGAAGGCAAAATAAAAATAACAAGGCATTAACATGCAAAATGTCATCACCTGCCATTTGCTACAGAAGCCAAATGCCGAACACCAACTACCAAATGCCAAACACCAACCATCATCCACAAAAAATTTAGAGACTAAAATATGTCACCACTTTTGGTGGTGATATAACTATATTTTTGGGGAGAAAAATCCTTCAAGAACACATTATTATGTACTTTGTGGGCAAGTTTGATTAATATAACATAACTTTTTATTAGCATTAAAATTTATTTCTTCTTGCTATCTAATATTTGATTATATATATATATTTATACTGTATATATCAAAAAATATTATTGAAATTATTACACCTCCAGTTCTAGGCTTCCCAAAGGAATGCCAAACATATATACCCAAATCTGCACTTTGAAATCATGGTACCATATGGCAAAGAGTATGGTACTGTTAGAGATTGGTTATGTACAGGGTGTCCATAATGCCTCTTTACACTTCACTCAGACTTTGTATTCTAATTTTATAGACCTGTATATTAAATCACATGCATTTTCTGTTTTGCTTCAAGAAGTAATAGTCCAAGCTTATATACATTTTTGACACTGTATGTTTGCACACAGTGTCAAGACACACATTGAGTGTCTAATTCAATGAGAATCTTTGATTAATTAAGCACCATTGTTGAAATATATAACAGACAATTAGCCGTAAAGTGGGGCATAATCGAGGTCCATTTTGTGCACATTTGCAATATGGCCTTTAAGGTGGTGCTTTAATCTGAATGCCTTTTTACAAAGCTGGCATATTTGAGATTTCTCTCCAGTATGTAGTTTCATATGATTCTTATAGTTAGTTTTACATCCTTTTGGGAATCCTTTATGACAAACTTCACAAAAATATTTAAGTTTATAGACTGTTGCTTTATGGGATATGTTGTCTGCTTGTGGTGATGCATAATGGGATGTGTCGCCTGCTTCATGCTTCATGTGGGACATGTTGTATCTCCCCTGCATAAAGTATTGTTCGTAGAAATCTGAAAAATTGCAAAAAATAAATTAACAATAAAAACAAAAATAAGACAAGAACACAAATGTGTACAAAATGTCCCCACCTATGGGTGATCCCTTCAAATGGTTATCCTAAAAATGAGTAGACAAGACTTTACCGACACAATTTGAGGACGGAAAATCCAAAATGGCCACCTTAAAATTTACCAAGAACGCAAAAAAATTAGTCAGTTCTAGATTTTCATACTAAGAAACACCCCTGAAAATTTGAAATTGATCCGTCACACAGTTAACCAGAAAACATGTAAACAAGACTTTACAGACAAGATTTGATGACAGAAAATCCAAAATGGCTGCCTTGACATTTATCCAGAATGCCAAAAAACTAATCTGTTTTAGATTTTCATACTAAGAATCATCCCTGAAAATTTGAAATTGATCTACCAAACGGTTCACCTGGAAATGCGTAGACAAGACTTTACAAACAAGATTTTAGGACAGAAAATCCAAAATGGCTGCCTTGACATTTACCCAGAATGCCCAAAAACTAATCAGATCTAGATTTTCATATTAAGAATCATCCCTGAAAATTTGAAATTGATCTACCAAACGGTTCACCTAAAAACGCGTAGACAAGACTTTACGGGCAAGATTTTAAGACGGAAAATCCAAAATGGCTGCCTTGACATGTATCCAGAATGCCAAAAAACTAATCAGATCTAGATTTTCATACTAAGAATCATCCCTGAAAATTTGAAATTGATCTAGCAAACGGTTCACCTGGAAACGCGTAGACAAGACTTTACAGACAAGATTTTAGGACGGAAAATCCAAAATGGCTGCCTTGACATTTACCCAGAATGCCCAAAAACTAATCAGATCTAGATTTTCATACTAAGAATCATCCCTGAAAATTTGAAATTGATCTAGCAAACGGTTCACCTGAAAACGCGTAGACAAGACTTTACAGACAAGATTTTAGGATGAAAAAATCCAAAATGGCCGACAATAAAAAAGTGATTATGAGTTTTTGCTGATTTCTTTTTAAAAAATTATCACATATAACTACTGTTAACAATAACATAGGCTTTTACAACAAAGTACACCTGAAATTATTTATAAAGCTACTAAATAGTTAAAGTATGAAAATTGAAAACACCATTCAATATGATACAAAGTATTATTGTGCGCTAACTTTTCTTAAAACATTCAAAATGGCTGACATGACTGAGCTAACAGGTCCAAAACCTAATCAGATCTAGAATGAAGTTAGCTGAACAAGATTTTAAAGTTTTAAAAGCAACTGTGAAGCCGTTTTTCTAAAAGTTTGCAGACAAGGATTTTAGCATTTGACTTCAAAATGGCCGACAGGAAGTAGGTATCGAGATAAATTTTTTTCATCCACATCTGTATGCACTCATAAGTTATCCCTGAAAATTTGAAGGTGATATCTGTAGCGGTTTTGGAGAAAACTGCCGGACGTACGTACGGACAGACAGACGGACAGACAGACGGACGCGCCTAGGCCGACAATATGGCCCCACACTGTGGTGGGGACATAAAAAGTATAAAATAAGTTTAAAAGATCTGCCTTCCTAAAATGGAAAACTCATTGTGTGGGTATATGACACATTCAAACTTTACACACAGTCTTTAACCTACAGTACTATTATATTTTATTATTGCAGTTTATTTGTCAATAATATAGCAATGCTCCCATAGATGGGTAATTTATGGGACTATGGGTTTTTGATATGCACATGCCTGTTCTACACTTTAGATATATATCTTATACTTAAAATATTTTCTATCTTCACCACATCATTAAAAACCATATACCTGATCAGTGTGTTTCGGAGTAACAAAATTGTCCGATGTCTTTCAAAATAGTCTCTGTTGTAAAATATATTGATAACATCATGAAAATATTGTCAGCTATGAAGATGAAGTCCCTCATTTATGGTGGTTGAGATCTCAAACTCCCCAAACATGCATGCATCTTAGATTGATGAAACGTAAAATTCTTGTCAGGAATCTAAGTGTTAGATACAAGAAAATTCAAGTAATATTTCTGATGACTGAAGAAACGTTAAATGTTATCATTATTTTATAAATCTATTATTATCTCTTAGATTATCAAGGATTGCTTTTAAACATTTCATAGGTATATTTCCTCAAATCATAGCAAGGCATTCAAGATACATCAGAACATAATCTACAGGGTGTCCCAGAACTCATAATTTTTTTGAGGGAGATATATTAGACATGGGTGATTTTTCTCCAGTCGGTGCACTTATTTACATATAATGGGGCATATCTCAAAAACTTCTCATGACTTCTGAGACACCCTGTATATTAGCCATATCATATTCACAGTCAATTAAGCCAATTTATTAAGAAACGAGTTGTTATATTCAAGATATTACATAGTATTTAGTCCAGCCCTTGGTCACAGATTGCAAATTTGACTAACCATGAAACATAGTCAACCTGCTGTGTTTACATAGATATCCCATTAGTGTTTGTCTTCACTGTTTCACAGTCTGATGTTTTATCTTTCCATATATTTTGCCTGCACTGTTTACTTTGTTCAACTGGTATCCACTATCTGTAATGGCTGAAGTTACAATGGTTTATAGGACATGTCCATCTTGTGAACAGTTCCAACGTGTCTCTTCAACTGATGCTTCAGCCGGAATGTCTTTTTACATAATGAACACTCATGTGACTTCTCTCCAGTATGTATTAACATATGGTTCTTATAATTTGTAAGAGTATTTGTTGCAATTCCTCTTGGACAGCTGCATACATATTTGTATTTTTTTACAATGCCGTCTGGTACATCTGATGCATTATGGGATAGCATTCTTCCCATGTATGCATCCTCCATATCTGGGAACATTTCTTGGTTGATTTCTTGGAAACCTGAAAAATAAAATAATAATTAGATCAATTGGTTAGTAACATATCAAAACTATCCTTGGGAGCCCTGTCTTTAGTACATCTACAATCGGAATATAAAAACTTCCAAATTGGTACATTAATCTGCAAAAGAAATATACTGGAGACAAGTCTGACTCAAATAATATTTGAACAGTTATTATTGTCACAACTAGCACATTGTATCTACTAAAGAAATATCATGCAGAAAGGGAGTCATACATCTGACACTTTTTAGACACACATGAATTTTATTTTTGTTTTTGTTTTTCTCTTTCTGTTTTGTATCAATGAGGCCAGTACAACTAGTATCCTGTCTTTTATTTCTGCAAATGAAATAATCCCCAACTGGATTGAAATTACCTTTCTATACAACCCTAACATAACCTAGATCATTGAAGAGGTGAACATCCATCACACAAATACAAAAATCTATAGTCAACTTATAGTTAATTTGTGTTTTTATTCTGATCTTTATTTAGTTTTCATATATTCTATAGTAATAGAAATAAAATTGCATTTTAACAAATTAATGATCTCAATCAAAACTAATCTGTACTAATGTAAAAGAATCAAACAAAACTTATCTGTACTCAAACATGACTAGTCTGTACTCAAGTAAGACTAATCTGGACTCAAACAAGTCTAATCTGTACTCAAGGTACTCTAGCAAGACCAACCAATGCTCAAGCTAAACTAATTCATATATCTAGATTTCCACTAATTAAATGTTAAAGGGTAGCTGGAATTGTCTATATTTTTATGATGTTTTCTAATCATATGTTTATTCAAGTTGCTCCTATCTGCAAATCTCTTTAAG